CCTAGGTTATTATAAAACTTCTAGATTTTATATAGAAGCTATAGTTCCTATTATAGATACTCTCTTATAGGGGTTACCCCTATTAACTTTAGGTCTACTAGAATAAAAAAATCTTATAAACCTAGCTTATTCTTAGAGCCTTCCTTTTTATAGGCTATCTCTTTTCCTACTATCTAACTTTATATAGTTATAAAGGAGGGTTTACTAGATAGTTTAGGTCTAACTAACTCTTTTTATAATATTATTTTTTAATAGACTAATTTTAAAGATTAAGTAATAAAATATAAGGATCTATAATCTATAAGAATTAGAACCTAATATAAAAGAAGAATATTATAAATAGATTTCAAGATAGATATCCCTATTTAAAGAGATTATTACTAAACTTTAAAGTTTAGTAGTTATAGGTAAGATTTATATCTTTATATATTATATAACTATTTACATGACCTCTTATAAGGAGCCTTCTCATCAGTAGGTTCCTCTGTAAAGGTAGCTTTAATATAATATATATGTGATATCAGTGAATGAATATCATGAGTAGATCAACAATTATTAAGGTTGACCCTGGGTTACTAAGGTTAACCTAAGAAATCTCTGCAATATCTATGACTTATCTTTTGGATAGATAGCCAGTAGCTAGATATAAATATAAGATCTTACCCCAGGTAAGTGAAGAGGCATTAGCCCAGCCTATCTCTCTTCACCCCTGGTGATACTACCTTACCCACAGTAATTCCATCTAATAGACCTTCGCAACCCTTACATATAGGTATTCTAGGGCTGTAACTAGATATATATAAAAGTTTATAAAGTTAGCCTACTAAAGGGATTTAGATAATTTAGCCTTATATATATAATATTTATTATATTAATTATCTATAAGTTAGACTAAGGCTATCTATACCTAATTATTTTTAGATTTAAATTAGCTAGGATACTCCTTAAAGTATATCTATATTTAGTTTATAAAGATAATATACTTCTATATTATTATAGCTAAGAATAGTTTTATATTTATAGATTTCTTTAGTTATTCTATATAAATTCTTTTTATTACTCTAGATATATCCTTATCTATTAGAGTTATTCTCTCTAGTAGTAGGGTTTCTCTAGTACTTTCTAGGGTATAATCCTATAATTAAGCTTATTTCTTATTTAGTTATTACTAGATTTCTATTCTCTAGATTTCTAGCTCTAGATAGTATTTTTCTTCTAGAAGAAGTTAGATATCTTCTTCCTTAACTTAATAACTTAAGTTTTATTTACTATTATTCTATCTCTATTAGATTTAGGATTTAGGCTATCTTCTTCTATCTAAGAATATTTTTATTATCTTAGTAACCTCTGTAGTAATTTAAGATATTTCTTTACTATATTAGGTTCTTTAATCTAGTATTTACTAGAGGGAGGGTCCTAGAGTAGATTAGCTATAAATATTTAGTATTCTTATAGTATTCTAGCAGGCTAATTAGATTTTAGGAAGTAATTAGAACTATTAATATAATATAATATCTAATAGAAGATAGTAATAGATTAGCATAAAGAGATTATAAGGTTATATTATTATTAATAGAAGAACTAATTACTAGTCTATAGAATCTTCCTCTACTAGGGAGGTTTTACACTAGGCTATCATGTGCTAAACTAGCCCTACTATTTACTGAGTTGTGGCCTTGGTGCCTTGCCCAGCTCATTTAGTAGAACTATTCTCCAGCACCATTCCTAACAATAAGCCTATATAAAAGCCTAGAAGATAGAGATAAGGAGCTTATATAGTAGGAAGTAATCTTACTAAATAATATAGAGTATATCTTAAGCTAGGCTACTAATAAGATAGCTAGTACTAGTAAGGTAGCTAGTATTAGTAAGGCTCTTATTAGTAATTAGGCTAGTAAGTAGATAGAAAATACTTAGATTTTAGGGAAGTAAATATAGAAAGAATAACTCTTTTTTTATAGAATTAAATTTTTTATAGAGGATGAAAAATAGCATCTTTTATATTAGGTATAATTTTAAAATTTACTAGTAAAATATATAGGCAGAAAGAATTAGGGGGAGATATTTTACTTATATAAAAATTTCCTCTAAAAAGATAATATTTTCTTTATAGAAAAAATATTTTTTTTTCTGGAAAATTCAGAAAATAGAAAAGAAAATAAGATTCCCTAGTTGCGCTTATTGCTAATCTGGCGTGTTGTTCTCCAGAATCCAGAATTCCAGATAGATAAATCTTGGTCGAGGAATTCGACGGAAGTTGCTCATCCCGCTTTTCAGACTTCACCACTAACCCAGTTGATGAATGGAATGAATCGTGGTGTACAATAGTTTACTGCTAGCTACCGGTTTGTTTCACTGCCCATTCGCCTATGCCTTGGAAACCCTGCAAATGGCCCGACGGTTCCAAGATTTTCTATATTAAAATATTACTGAGAGGCGGAGCGTTTCTTACTCGTAGTCTCGTAAAGCGTTTGCAGCCTTGAATCCTGAGGCTGGAAAGGGGATGGGTTCAATTTCCCATCCCCTGGAGGCCTGGACTACTACCATATCAGCCACCTCCTGAAGCTAGATACGAACGAAGGCTTTACAGTGTATACGTCGCTACTGTTAACTACTACTCTGTAAATCTAATTGAATTATGGCAAATTGTGTTCAATGTACTAGAGTCACATGTCCTCGGATAATGCTCTGGTAGTGAATGCTACTCCACATCTCAACCTCCTCGCCGGATCGTTGAGTGTCGCATTTCAAATCGTGGATCGATACTGTATAGTAATCGCTCGACTGGAGAAAACTAGAAGACCGTTCTGGGTTCTGTAACCGAGCTTGCAATATCGCACGAACCGGCCGTGAAACAGTATCATGCGACGTGTTCGCTTCTTGTCTTTTTCGGAGGGCCTTTGGACCATCGCACAGCATAGGATAGGAGGTTTTATAGAAAGGTAGCTATATCGAGAAGGGTTCTTCAGACCAATGTGTTTCTCGGCGATTCCCCGCGGTCGTAACCAGCCAACCTGAAACACCTATTCATAAAGCCGCCGGGCGTTAATAGTATCTACCTACTGGGTTGTTTTTACAAGTTACACTGGCGACTTGCATGCGCCCGATGACTGCCAGTTTGCGCGGGAACTTGGGGATCCAACAGAGTATCTATTGGGCACAGCAATCCTTCGACCCAAAAGTCATCGGAATGTTTCTAAAAGCAGATGCCAGCAGAGGTTGTCATGATTCCACATTCTGTCGGAGTCAGCGATGATGGCGTTACCAATCAAGCCCATTGAGCACCCCGCACCCATGCGCATCTCGGGATCAAATCAGACCTCGGAACAGTTCCCTTTCAGCTGGACATGAAGAGGGACAAGACGAACATCTTTAGGCTAGATTCTTTTTCAGTGGCTCATTTGCTCAACTTCACATTCGGAACTATATATCCAAGAGCCCCACTACAATCCACTTCTATACATCATTTGACGGTGGCTGACTGGACTCAGATATGGGCTGCGTCCTATCTGTCCACTCACGGCTGTCAGCTTCAATGATAATCTCTGTGTTCATGAGCGGTAGGCCCGTAGCTCTTCGATGCCTTGAAAACTGGCTGGTCTAAGGCACAATGAATGCTCCCCTTCAACGCGCTAAATAGGCGAGAACCAGTCTTCTGCTCTATGATTCTGACTGTGCTGGAAGATATATCTATCTTTGCATTCAGAAAAACAAAGTTTGTATGGATCATGGATGTTTCTTCCCTGCTTAGCCCACCCGCACGGGACTAGGGTTGGAATGACGTGGCAGTCCTCCGATCTCTCCTCGGGCTATCAATAACCAACGGCATTAAGGATTGTCTGTGTCATTGATACGACACGGAATGAACGCAATAGAATAGGCCTTGCAGCTCATCAAGGTTTTTTTTTTTGGTTCTGGTCCAACTCCATGGCCATGGTGGCTCCTTTGATACTGATTCCGCCCCCCCCGTGTCTGCACATGCATGTATATAGCGCATGGATGCGATGCTATGCAGTTCTCTTCCGAGAAGGCATGGGACACTTGCAAGTTTGGGATTCATTAGGCGCAAGGCCAGATCCAGTACCTAGTTTGCTATCATGCTTTAACTTCTAACTGCATGCCTGTGTAACAATGTTCCTGTCGTGTTGAACGATCGTTCTCTTGGTAATTGTTTGCTGCTGGCTGTCTCGTATCTGGTCTCCAGAGTACAAGAACGTCAAGACCTCTAAATGGCCATAAGCATGATCGACTGATTGCGTTGAACAATAAGGGATTTCTCAAGATAGAAGGGAAGTCCCAAGGAGCATCGATATGAACGCGAACCATAGAGAAATGAACACCAAGGTCTTTTCATGAGAAGCATTCGCACAGCAGTCATACCATCTCGGGTCCTGTTGCATTTGCTTGTATGGGTACAGCATCCGAAGTGTAGATGGTTTGCCAATATCAGTCCTAGTTCAGACGAGATAAACTTGATTCTTAATATTTGCATCTTATTGTCTCTATAGAAAAACAAGTCAGTTACCAATAGTATTGTTGTCAACTGCATACTGGTATCTTCGAGTAGAGCAGTCATTTGGATAATCGTATGCATTCGAGATCAGAGCCGTGATCAAGCACGTAGTCCTAAACAAATCATTCTAATTGCATGACCCTTGACAAGAGCATTGCAGGTCTACAATGATACAAAAGTGGTTGATCAGGGAGGCTGATAAAGACCACGTGACTCAACCTCCGCGGAACTTTTTCTTGGCGCGCTAAAAATTATATTCTACAAGTCTGCAAAAAAAGTCGGGAAGCAAAGAAGAAGAGCGTATCGGACTCGACCAACACACCAAGCAACATTATCTTCGCTATACTACCGGAATGATCGTTTAGCGGTTGGCTCTATTCCCTGAGCCAGGATAGAATTTTATTTCTCCCACGACGAACCGATCGTCATCGCTACCTACCTTTTTTTTTTTTCGACTCAAGAATCTAAGCGCATCCAGTTGCCAATCATGGATATCCATCGCTGTCGTTTCGTGCCTTACAATCCGCAGGCGATCAATGCGCTCGCGTTCTCACACCCCCCCTCTGCAGAACTTGCTGGACGAGGTGTACCTACCTTGCGACTTGCCATTGGTCGCGCAAATGGCGACATTGAGATCTGGAACCCGATGCGCGGCGCCTGGTTTCAGGAGACAGTCTTGAGAGGAGGAAAGGACAGGAGCATCGAAGGACTTGCGTGGACCCTTGATCCCCCCGAAGCCGGACCCGACGGGACCAAAATCCCCGGCAAACTGCGTTTGTTCAGCATCGGATACTCGACTGTGGTGACGGAGTGGGATCTCGAGCAAGGTCGGCCTCTGCGCCATTTCAGCGGAAACTATGGTGAAATCTGGTGTATCGCGGCACAACCAAGGTGGCAGGCTACGAAGCGCGGCAAGGATGGGAAATTGCTCCCCCCGGCTGAGGGAGAGTACACCGGGCAGCATCTTGCGGCGGGCTGCGCCGATGGCTCGATTGTGATCCTGTCAACTGCCGACGGGGACTTGAAGTTCCTGCGTCTGATGCGCCCATCTACGAAGAGAGCGAGAGTTCTCAGCGTTACTTTCCAAAATCGCAACACAATCGTGGCTGGGTATGCTGACAGCTCGATTCGACTATTCGATATTCGCTCCGGACAGCTTCTGCGCACCATCTCTCTTGGAAAGGGACCTACTGGAGGACCCAAGGAACTGCTTGTTTGGTCTGTCAAGTGTCTGCCCGACGGTACGATCGTTTCTGGTGATTCTGCAGGCGAGATTCGATTCTGGGATGCCAAGAACTACTCCCTCATCCAGCGGATACAAGGTCATATGGCGGATACGCTTGATGTTGCTGTGAGCGCTAATGGAGATACGGTTGTCAGTGGAGGTGCGGACCAGAGAACGGTTGTGTACAGAAAACGAGAGGGCGATAAAGGCGACAAGAAGAACAGATGGGCTGAAGTGATGCACCGCCGATATCATACCCATGATGTCAAGACCTTTGCTGTCTATGAAACGCGAGATATCAGTATTGTTGTATCCGGAGGTAGGACTTGATCGCTTTTATCTGTTACTTTGGAACATGTGAAGACTGATAATTATTAGGACCTGATGCATCACCCGTGGTCCTGCCCTTGCGTGAATTCGGAAAAGAACACCACCGGAAGCTATCGAGTCTTCCCCAAATTCCACAGGTGGCTTCGTCTCCTTCGTCTCGCTTGGTGATGAGCTTCTGGGACAGAGAAGTCAGCATCTGGCGCTTGTCTCGTGGCCCTACTACAGCACTTGACGCCCAGGAAGGTCAGAAGCACCGACTAGTAGGAAAGGTCCTGATTCAGGTAAGGATATTGAACGCTCCCTCCAAAGTTTTTGTGGAAAGGCCCCTAATATGTTATGTTTTCCGGCCACAGGGAGAAGAAAATATCACATCAGCGATGATTTCCGTGGACGGCAAGATCCTTGTTGTCGCTACAGTATCCGAAGTGAAGGTGTTCTCCGTTCGAAGACGTAAGAGCGATGACCGGGGCGCCCTGCGCATACAAAAGTTGGATTTGCCTCGCGCATTCTCGGAGGATGGAGCACGAGCTGTGGCCGTTTCACCGGACAGCCGATGGCTCTGCGTGGTTCGTCCCAACAGCGCTATCTATCTGGCCAGAATCATACCTGCTTCGTCCCCACAGGAGAAGCCTCAGATCCTGCCGCAGCTTGTGAAACTCAACAGAGCTACCCGGCACACTCGTCACGAAAAGGCTTCCCACGGTACGTTGGGGGATTATGAGAGGACTATTCGCTGTGTGGCGTTCTCCGACGACAGCCGAATCCTCGCAACGGGTGACCTTTCTGGCTGTGTGGACAGCTGGTCTCTGGAGAACGTGGAAGGCTCATCTTCAAACGCTGTCTCCAAGCGCAATGGGGCAGCGGACTCTGATGACGAGTCTTCAGATGACGAAGAGGAGGGCCCGGTGATTGAAGGAGAGCGCTGGCAATACACTGCTGCTGATTCGCCTATACCCAGACTCAAGTCCGGCGTGGTCCTCCTTTCATTCCGCCCGCGGAGCCTAGCAGAAACGAAAATGCTGACAAATGGGGCCGACATTCCCACCGCCGACGCCTCCAAGAGCGAGAGTCGATTGATGGCACTGACAAGCGAACACCAGCTTGTCGAGTTCGATGCTCTCGAGGGCAGACTCTCAGACTGGTCGAGAAGGAACCCTAAGGCATATCTCCCCGAGCAGTTCAAGGGCGTCAAAGACCGCGCGATGGGCTGCGTATGGGATTTCTCCGAGGAGCGCGAACGGCTTTGGCTGTATGGTTCTTCTTGGCTATGGATGTTCGACCTGAACCAGGATTTCCCCTCCACGGAAGAGATGAAGGAAATGGCCGACGGCCAGGAAGACGGGGAAGGCTCGACGCAGCTCGTCAAGGCGTCCTCATCCCACAAGCGCAAGCGCGAGCAGCTGGAAGATGACGAGAAAGAGCGAAGAAAGACGAACAGCGGCGCCGGCGACCGGATGCCCCTCGCGCAGTCCGACGTGCACTTCGGCGCCAAATACCGCAAGATCGAAGGCCACGACGACTCCCAGGGCGAGTGGGTCTCCCTGGACAAGGAGCGCCCTAAGACCACAGCCGCAGACGAGGACGGCTTTGAGTACGACGAGGCGTCCGCCGCCAGCAACGACGCAACCCTCGCCCGCCTGCGCAGAGGCAAGCTCGCCGACGACGAGACCACCACCAGCACCCCGCGCAAGACACAGTCTCTCGGCGCCCGCGACAAGCTGCTCTCCCTCGTCAACAGCCTCAGTGACACCCCAACCCGGAAGCCCATCGACGACATGCTCGACACGCCCCAGAAACAGCTGGTGCCGTCAAACGGGACCCAGCCCGCCCGCCGGTGGTGGTACACATACAAGTACCGAGACATCCTCGGCATCGTCCCCCTGCGGCCCCTCTCGGACGATGAGCATGCTAGCGAGAGCACAGACAGCAACAACAGCACATTGGAGGTGGCGATTGTCGAGCGACCCATGTGGGACGTTGAACTGCCGGGCCGGTATGTCAGAGACTACGCGTAGGCGAACGGCAACGGCAAGGAAATCAAGTCCCTGCCTGATCCTGGCCGTCCGGCTGCCGGGGGGGCATCATACCAAGTCTCTCCCTTTTTTTTTTCTCTCTTCTAATTCGAACCCTGTCATCATGCGAACCCATGTTTGCTAGATCCCCCCGTTGTTCTGGCGCTGTGCATAGAGAGCTTGTCTCGTTGTTTTCCCCTCTTATCATGTTCTTTTTTTTTTTGCCATTCTGTACTCACTTTTGGCGAGCTGGATAGGTCACGCTATTCTATTTCTATAAATGGATAAAAGTTACTTCTTGGACATTCTTCATTATTGCTTTGCTCTGCTACCTCATCGAGCTTGAGCAAGATTGTAGGCGATGTCGATACCGCTAAGGGGCTCCATTTTAACCTACAATATTGATTCGAGATTAATCCGAACGACAGACAGTCTTCCAGGGTAGTCCGCTCAGGATGAGGTCTTCCTAGACCTCTACAGAACAATGAGATGTGCAGACATTATGAGTATCCATTTGAAGTTCCTTAAAGATATCTAATTGAAAGACCGTTAGGGAAGAAGACCCGCGTCCCATGCACCGTGGTAAGAGGAGGAAATAGGAACAAGTGAGAAGTAAATCAATAGCCGCCACTCCGCAATCATATATCATACGTCGCAAAAGTACCATAACGTGAGAAAAAACAAGTCTGAGTAGATGCAGGAGGAACGAACGTAATGCAATAGCGGCGTGCCGATCGCCCGATTTCTGTTTTCCTGTTTATCGTGAGAACACCGTTTCCCTAAAATCCGATATGCAACCAATGCCCTAAGATAGGTGAGGGCAACATAGAATGTAGAGAAAAACGCCCCTCGACTAGTGGAGGGCAGTCCATCGACAAGTAAGTGCAGATAGGTGCCCCATGTCGAAAGTAATTGGTATCGAGGAACAGCGAGATACTGGCCTCGTCACGGTCTGTCCGTCAGCCCACCTGAATTCTTTCATACAGGTGGGCGGGAGCGTGAGAGTTCAGGTATTTCTGTGTGGCGAGGAAAGCAGCAGGAGTGCCGCACTCAAGAGATCGCATGATGGCACTAAGTTCGTGCTTTTGGGGAGCCTGAATCATAGTCCAGCATGCGCTCGTCCACTCAGAGTGGAATGGAGACAATGTACATTGTTGAGGATACGTAGCGTTCGACCACGATGTATGGCATAGGCTCGGAATGGCTTCGTGATAAAATTTGCGGAGCCAATCTCGTGGCAGATGATCGATCAAGCGGTTAATAACTTTGCGCCGACACATGAGCGGGCTGAAAAACATTAGCGATCAGTATTCATCGAAAGAGGGCACGTAGCGTATAGAAGAAAAAAGATGCGCAAAAAAGTCTCGCCATTGTTGCACAGGGAAGCGGTGCTTCTCCTTGGCGAAAACGAGAAGCAAGGGTCAAACTCACAGGACTGGCTAGCATGCTATTCCGCTCTTTCCTGCCCTTCTTAATATGGTTCTTCAGGGCCGTGGAGTCGAGTGGTTTCAGTAGCTCGAAGCTACAGAGTAACTCCCCGGAAACCGACATAATGGCGCCCCAGTTATCGAATTCGCCACAGTACTACAGCAGCAGTCAGAAAACCCGTTTCGGCTAGTGAGGAAGGGTGGAAGAGATGCCAAAAGGGGGGGGTAAGACTCACGTTAGGTGCTGAAAAGACTGTCACCAAGATACGGTCTTGATAAAATTCGTACCCGTCCTCGACCACCATGTGCGCGCGGCAGACCAAATCAAAGTCATGGCGCTGCAGGAAGTTCATGATCACCTTCTTCCCGAAGCAATAGCTGACACCCCGTTCATTGGGTTCCCAGTCTTCTTCCATGTCTGCCGGGTCACTCCACAAAAGATCATTCAGCAAACCGTAGTCGGGAACATCGGTTGGCCTGGCGATGCCCCGGATATCATCCATATGAGAGAGACTGGGCGAAAGTCCACCATGCACACAGAAAATCTTGCCAGCAACAGTAGCAGCAATGGGAAGGCAGTTGAAAGTATCAATGAAGGTCTTCCAGATTTTGATGTTGCACCGCCGCTTACACTCGTCATAGAATCCATAAACACGCGTGACATTGGCACATTCATGGTTGCCACGGAGAAGGAAGAAGTTCTCAGGGAACTTGAGCTTGTAACAAAGGAGGAGGAGAATTGTCTCCAAGCTCTGCTTGCCGCGGTCGACATAGTCGCCCAAGAAGAGATAGTTTGAAGCAGGTGGAAACCCGCACATCTCGAAGAGTCTGATCAGATCCGTATATTGACCATGGACATCTCCGACAATTTTTACGGGGGCTGACAGCTCAAGCAAGGCAGGCTGGGAGAGAAAAAGCTCTCGTGCTGCAGAACAGATCGCCATGATCTCGGCATTTTTGAGGCACACGGTCTTCGTGACCTTGGTGGAATAGCCAGCATCGAGGAGGCGTGAGATCATGTCATCCAGATCGATGGACTTCAATGCACCCATTCCCATACCCGGAGACCCCGATGTCTCGACAGGAGGATTCATGATGAAGTCCAAAATCGGATTCAATTGATTCTCCCGCTTGATGAGAATCGACTCGCCGACTTTGTGCGATGACGGTGCCGACAGCGCAGCACCGGTGGGAGGCACATCGGACACATGGTCGACTTCGCCACTCTGCTGCATCGCAGTGACATCTTTATGACCCCGTTTTAAGCTGTTCGACAGGGAGGGTGAGGGAGGTGGCTCGGGAGCATCGATTTGCGAAGCGATATCATCAGTCGACTGGGCATTTGGGTTGGTGGAACTGCGTCTGCTAGTTGTCGACTTGATTGATCCTGCATCAGACTTGTCATCTGCCAAACCTGCAGTTGATCCTCGGGGACTGTCGCTGCTACGGATCTTGGACTTGATTGAGCCACGGAGGGAACGGAGAGACTCCTTGGTTTCGGAGCGAGAGAAGGATGGATAGGATTGCAGAGAATCGCCAGGGCCGGAATTGCCCTTGGAATGCGACTGACCCATCACTGCAAAGCGTGGATGTCTGCCAAGCTCGATTTGAAATGGGTTGAGAAATTTTGAATTTTCAAGTCAATGGGTATCAAATCCCGGAGTGGTATTGGAATGCTTGGGCTTGTCTTGGCCGGTACCCAGGTAATGGAGGATATAAAGCGAAAGCGGAACCCGTCGGCGAAGATGGACGGAGGGATGGTAGCCTCTTTGACGAAGCACCAAAGAGACAAACCTAAAAGCAGTTATAATTCCAGCTACCGGTTGAATGCGACCGAGGATTGTGGTGAATGAATAAATGACCTCAAAGGTGGCAGTACCGGGCGATCGCGGTTGAGGAGTGAGGAAGAGAAGCTGCAGAAAGCGACTGAGAGGAGAATGGCATCACAGTGTGCCCAAGCCACAGAGCTAGCTGGTCGGAAGGGAAAGCTCCGATTCGCCGATAAGAAGAAGCTTCTAAAGATATGCGAGTTAGAATGAACGGAGGAAGATATAATGGCCGACAGCACCCTGGGGAGGGGGGGGGGAAGTGGACAAAGGACGGATCTTATGAAGCAAATTGGAGAAGCGGTATGTGGAGGTGGCTAGGAGGGATTTTCGCCACGGGTAAGCTCTCTAATGAGATCGGGGGGAGGGATGGAGGGGAGATCATAGGTGTAGAAAATTGGGAATACTGCGTCATTATGGGGGGGTGTGGGAAAGGAATAGATGGAGATAGATAGATAGCAGAATTCAGAGGGGATAAAACGGACCTGTCTAGGATAACTACAAATCCCAAGAAGCTCAAAATCAAAGGAGAATGGAGAGTAGAGACGGTTGAAGTTGTGAGGAAAGTAAGATGAAACCAGGAGAGAAAAAAGATGTTGTATTATTGAGTAGCGAAGATTGATCGTGGCGTTGAAGTGATTGATTGATTGATTGATTTGATGATTAGTTAGTGAGTAAGTAACCTTAGTCCAGCTTTTTTTTTGCTCCCAGTTCTAGAGACAGTGAGAGAGTCTCGATTCCCCCAGTACCGGCCGGATCAACCGGCGGCCCGGATAGCTTTGGTTTAGTAGTGAATTGATTTGTGCTTAAGGAACCCGAGTCAATGATGTTGACAGTTGATAGTTGTTGATACTGGTGCCTAGTTCTATTAATACCCTTGCACACTTCACCACTTGCACTGATGATAAGTAATGACAGTAATAGTCTAGCTAAGCTGGAGTTATTCTTATTCTTATATTACTATTATATTATTATTATTCCACAGAGTATTGTATTTGCTTCATAGAGCTCGGACAGCTCTATGTCTGAACTCCCAAGTCTCCAAAAATGTTTTTTTTTCCCGTTTCAAACTCCGTAGGTCCATTGTATGTCTGACTACCTAGTACCTAGTACCTACTAGTAGTAGATCGTTAGATACAGTACACATGAGCTGTTATAACGACCAATCACTTTCAAAGGCCGGATTTCCGTCTTTCCCAACATCTGGACGTCCGGATGCTGCTGAGCCACTGGCCAACAATGGACAACGCCGCTGGACAGCCTCGTGACAGGCAATTTGGGGAATTGAATTTGAGACATATCTAGCAGTCAGCACAGACAACACGGTGTCGGCTTCCCCCTCATTTCGCTGGGCTTGGCGGCGTCCTTGAAGTGTTCCAGACTTTGTGTTGTTTTCTCGACACTGGATCGTTTTTGACGATTTAGATTTAGCTTGGGGAGCATGTGACAAGGCAGTACATACGAATCACTTGTTTATCCAGAAGGGCATACTGTCACGAACTCACGACCAGCACAGCCATCGTGAATGCTTCATTCCGATGATACCCGGTTCTTTTCGACACATTCAATCCGTAGTCTACCGGACCGCTACTTAGATAGTCTAGATACCTGCGACTCTTTCTGCTCCTTTTCCTGATTGTACGGACAAACGCGGCGTGTTCCGGAGAACGCTCGGCAAATCCTACAACCTAGTTCTATGTCGTTTAAACTTCCCAGGTAAACAAATTTGGCGAAAACAAGCTATGTCGTCAGGCGCCTTGATTGATGGTTTTAGCTAATACTATGTAGTTAGAACTAGCCACCTAGCGGTATCAACTCCGTAGTCCATCCCAACGAGATGTCGGTCAGAACGCCAAAAAAAAAACCCCCCCTGTTCCATCGCGGGCGTCAGGAACACCGCCATTTCAATCCCAGAGCTCAGATGGCCAGGCCGGCACTGAGCGACCTGTGGCTTCGGTCGCCAAGCTCTAATGCGCTATGCCAAGTGTTTCTCCCTCTTTCTCCTGACCACGTTGTCGATAATGCGAGGAGCTGCATCGCCCATGCTGATCTGGGGCTTGGCGGCGCATAATGGTATTTGATTTGTGCCCGTCAGGTAAGGCCGGGCCATGGGGTTTGCAGGTATCCCCGTATCTGTCGCAGCTGGACATGTAGAGCGTGTCAGGATGTTGTACAAACGATGCATTTGACCCCTCCTACTGAAGTCTTGTTCTCTTGTTCTCTTGTCATCTATGCCATTCGTCGTTGTGTGCTGCCCACGCGAGCTGCCGGGCGATATCGGAGAAGATGGCAACAAAGAGCGCCATGGTCATGGCTCGCGTGCTCAACATCCAAATAAGAAAAAAGTCCGCGTCTGCATGAGAGAATGACCGTTCTATGTCTTTCTCAGTGTGTCCCGGAGGTGGCTTTGTTGCGGGGTTTCCTCAAGCTCAATCTTCGTAATGTGTTGACTGGGCACAACAACAAGACCAATAAACCGACTCGTCATATCCAATTTGATGTTTCTTCGTTCCGGAGGTGCCACGACTTCTTCTCCGTCATTCGTCTTTGCTGCTGCATCCTTGATGGCCGAGGAGGAAGGAAAGCGATATTCGTACGTGTTTCCGAGGATAATATTCCTTTCCTAGAAACAAGCGGACAGTCAGAAAATGCTGCTACCATATCCCCGCAAGCGATCCACATTACAAGTCATTGAGCGATGTCATCAAGTCAAGTCGAGGAGATCGTAGCCACCTACCGCATCCGTGCATTTGAAAGTGCCGACAAACATGCGGGTGTCTGTGGCGTGCACCCGCAGCGTCTGGCCGATCAACGATTCCAGATAGCGAACAGCCTGCAGTTCATCCATCACTTGACGTTTGTATGGGTTGCTGACTCAATCCGACGGGCAGGTTCACCGTGATTTTCGCCGGGTCAGCCAATAACGAGAAGAGGGGTCGGTGATGCGCTGCTCACTTGACGCGAGCAGCAGCAAAAGACTTTGGGCTGATCAGTCAATGTGGCTTATTCGAGAGTAAATCTCAGTAACCAGAATTGAGTAGAACTCTGTGCTTGATTGATGTCGAACCACCGTAAATAAGATTGACAAGTGATTATGTTGTGGTCGAGACCCGTAGCGAGATGAAGCCTCACTAAAAGTTGTCCGCAGTCCGCACGCGCCAACCACGTCACATGTACGGACTACGGAGTACCCCATACAGATAGCCCAGTACCATTTAAGCCTATTCAACACACAGAGTAAACAACATTATTCCTATGAACAGAGGAGGTTTTCCGATAGCTGGGGAGTCAATTTCTAGTGCAGAGAATAAATGAGGACAATAGCTTATAGCTGAGCACCGCATGATACAATCTTTTGGTTCCTATCAGCAGCTAGAACCTCTCACTTTAGTAGTATAGGTTCTCATTGAAGTTTTCTTGTTTTTGATTGAGAGGGTTTCATAATATTCAGAAAAGTATATCGAATCTGCTTGACATAAAGGGGTATATGCAGACTTGACTGCCAGACATGGGGATATGCGTCTGAGACAAAGAACAATATATACAAAGTTTGATAGACAACGCCGTCAATCGGAGCCAGAAGAGTGCTAGGAAGGCGGCAAAAAGGCGCTATAGAAAGAGATGCGACTCCCTCAAGACACTATAGAGGAGGCTGCGGAAATGTGATGACCCCCACAAATTATCACATCGAGTGATAACGTACTCAGGGCGAGTGACCATCGCACACAAACACCCTGACAATTGCCTGAAATTGGCAGGCGCAGAGCAGTGGGTTCGCCGAAGAAATGTGATGAATTATGAGGTGGGCAAGTGTTGAGACTGGATGTGAAATCTGTTTCATATCCAGGCGAATCCTCCAACCCATCTCTTCGATTCCTCTATCGAATTATCGCTACTAGACTCAATCTCCATAGAAATATCGTCGCCTGTGATTCTCAGTCCTGAGCCATTCGGGCCGCTTTCAGTAGAGGTCGCGGGCGAAAGCATGTTGTAATTGTACTCGCGCGGTAAGCTGTCTTTCGATTGGGGGGTATAATCTGATTGCCGCTTTGAATCGAGCCGGCGATGAGGAAAAGAGGATTGGGTTGGTTGGAAGAATCTATGTAACGTTTGTTGACGAGGATCGGTAATTTCTGACGGCGGTAGAGTGTCTTCGTCCATGTCTTCGTCTTCGCCATCATCCTGACCTATTGGCGGAAGAGGTCCATGATGGGATTTTTGAGCATCGAATAGCCAGCGGAGAGTATTCTCTATTTACTCCGGTCAACAAACGTAACAAGGCGGGTTTGAACGCGACAGGTAGCAATAGCCACACCCACCATATACCACTTTCTCATCTGGACGATCATTTCGATATCTCTTTCGGGTTCGGCTGTGCAGATGCTTTGATGAGTCCTCTACTCGTCGCGATGGTCCTGCAACAACGGGCATTGTGTGCATGGGAGCCATCGCGGAGAACGAGGCCTTGCGTTTGAGAGACATCGTTGTCTGTCTATATACTTCTATCCACAATGGCGGTGTTGTGGCGGTTGACAGCTCTTTACTATATGAATCTTCGTTCCTGGAAAAGACCTTTTGAGGGTAGATTGGACGTTGGGAAGATCCGCGTAGAGATGGGGGAAGCTTGGGGTTTCGTTGATACCTCGCACGAGAATCAATCAACAAGGCTGACAGGATCAGCTTCCATTAGTAGGAGGAAAATTGCGTGTGGTTGGTTTGACTGAGCGCGTTCTGACGAGACAATGAATTCGCGTGATGATTGGTGGAATACGACAACAACAATGCGCTAAGCTATGTTTGGCTTAATTGGCATCACCATGGCCATTCCAGTAACAACGATGTTGACCTTATATCGGAGTCGTAGGCACTCGCTCAAGGAATCTATGTCAAAATCATAAGTTGAATCAGCTGTATGAACTCGCGATTTAGCCTTGTCTTGAGTTAGTATTCATATTCTCTGGTACCTGGTCTTATCTTGGTTTCTGGCATGAGGGCCTCAAGTATAACTTATGTTGTTGTCATGTGATCCCAAACTCGCTCAGGAGCTAGCTCTGATTGAATCTGGATATTATGTGTTTCTTGATCAGGTCTACGCCTGTACATATTGGAGGAAGTATGTAACTTTAGTTGTATGCTGCTTTCTTCCTTGATACAAACATGCTTAAGGCACGTCCATTCCTTCGCAGGGAGATCACATACTCCACTGTTGAAAGGGAAAATGTGAACATTCTCCATCGGTTAAAGTACCCTGGTCAAAGAGACAGATTTCTCGCAAGGATTCTAGAAAAGCGCCGGTGAATAGAAGCCATAGTTGATCACCACCTGGATTTAGAATCATCCCAATCATGCTGTATGGATGGGGTTGAAAATTGGCGTCATGGGAGCTTTGATCTATGCGTTTCAGTCACCGAAAGATGGAAACAGAAACAACAGCCTGGAAGACGCGTATTACTTCGGTTCCCTCTTTCATATCGTGCTGGCGATGGGTTTCGACCTGGAAATGGAGATGAAAAGCTGAGATGTGAGGCGGGAACGTATGCATGGCTTGAAGAGAATTGCCCAGCTGTCCCTATACCGAGACTATACGGCTTTGCTACATCCACTGGCGAATCTGTAGGCTTATTTTCTCCTTTCCTTCTCAATCTTTCCTCTTAGCTTAGTACACCTTTCCGTCTCATAGTCTTCGTGAACTAATTTTCAGGCGATACTCAGTTTACACGATTGGAGAACCTGCCGTTTCTTTCCTGTTGTTTCCAGCAGATACGTCGCCAACTGCTTTCATGCTTTGGCTTCCCCACCCCTACCAAATTGATTCGCGACCTAAAAGAGGCTGGCTACTTGCTGACGGAGTACATTGATGAAGAACGAGGAGAAATGCTTTCAAATATTTGGCCGGAGAAGCAGCGTGATGGCAGACTGAGGTCCAATTTCTTCCATGATCTTGTCCGGATTCTTCTGAATATTGCACGCATTGCCCCTACCAAAGGTCGGTTCTTTGTTATTGACGGGGACTGGTTCTTGCAATTGATAAATCGTCCGCCATCTCTTGAAATTCGGGACTTGGGAAATGAAGAGATACCGATAGATATGCTGCGAAACTACACGTATACGACGGTCGATTCTCATGTGATGGATGCTCTTCGCGTGCTCGATAGTCGGCTTCGACACTAGCCAAACTCAATCAATGATACAGGAGACTATATCTATCAGACATCGCCTCTGACGGCAATACGTTCAACCTTTTCCCCATTTTTCAAACAAGACGTGGTCTTTTCATATTCACGCTGACGGACCGTCAACAGAGCAATATCTTTGTCGGTAAGGACTAGCACATTACATACTTGGTTGATCTTGAATGGGGCTGTGTTCGCCCAAACGAGATGCTTCGAACTCTAACATGGCTCACGAACAAAGCCGTGGATGAGGTAACCGAAGAGCCAGAGGCATACGATGAAGTACGTCAGAAACTCATTGATGTCCTGGTCTATGAAGAAGAACGAATTGGAAAGTTCAAGGGATACCAACTGTCAACAATTCTGAAAGAAAGCTGGGCTATCGGAGCTTCTTGGTATTCACTTGCGCTCGCCAGTCATACTGGTCTCTTTTTTGATGGTGGCTAATGCTGGAACACGGGACCAGCTTTTCAGCCTAGGTGTCGGAACTGTCAACTGCGGGTCCTGGTCGGGGTTCCGTTGCAAAGACGTTGATGTCTTTCCTGATCAGAACACCAACGTCTGAGAGATGGATTGGATCCAGGACTCCAATCACTGTATCTCGCACTGCATCCAAATCGCGTCTTGCGTGGTGATTGACACCTAGAACAATAGTGACAGGGCATTCCTGAGGATCATCACTCAATCCGATTCTTATACAGGTGATGTTCACAGATCTAGTTGGGCTAGAAAGGTTGCGCCAACATCCCCCCATAAGAGATAGATCGAATCTGACTGGAAACATGGAAACATGGAAACATCCGCGGCCGTTGATCGAAGAAGCGAGGGTCGATAATCTCATGGAAATCAATCTTCTGAACCCCCATACGTCCATCCAATCAGATGAGCTCTCTATAGGTGATAGATGCTGAGAATCATTCTCAGCGATGCTCAATAATAAGCACTTAGTATAGATCTACATCGGTATGCCGCTGGTAGTAGGATAATTGGATTGAACCTCGGCATGCCGTTGGGCAGGATTGAGATCTACTTACAAGTAACTAACTATTATTGCTGTCTGTTGATAGAGAGCGCTCCACTATGACGAGAGTTCCACTTCCCCGCTTCTGACTGCTTTTTCCCGACTTCCTCAACACCACCACAGACCTTAAGTGTTATATCGACAGCTCTGCATGTTGGATGCGTCGGTTTTTCAGTCGAACGAAGAGAAAATCAATCATCATGCAGTCGAGAGAAGCATCGCACGCGGGCTCGTGGTACTCTGATAGCAAAACCACCTTGACCCGTCAACTGGACCAGTGGCTTGGTCAAGTACCCAACACGATCGATGGCATCGGTGACTTGCCTGTGCCTGGCTCCCGAGTGATTATTGCCCCGTATGTACTGAGCTGAGCGTAACCGTACCATAAACAAATTACTCGGGAGTTTGGTGCTGATATTCCAGGCATGCGGGCTATGCCTACTCCGGGCCATGTGCGGCCTATGCATACAAGGCTCTGGACCTATCTCAGGCGTGAGTGATTCCTCTGCTTCTGATCTACCAGTCAGTCTAAACTCTCCTGTAATTAGCAAGCGGATCTTTATTCTTGGACCCTCACATCACCATTATCTTTCAACGCTTGCCGTCCCTCAGCTTACCTCGTACTATACCCCGCTCTCCGACGAACCCCTACCGCTGGACACTGAGCTTATCAGCCAGCTTCTTTCAACAAAAGCAGTGAAACCAAATGGCTCGACTGTTAGCTTTACCACCATGACACGCTCAATCGACGAGGATGAGCATAGTATTGAGCTTCATTTACCTTATATCCACCGTCTACTGCAGCTTCAACACCCGACCAAGCGGACATCAGAATATCCGCTTTTGGTGCCCATCCTAGTCGGAAGTACTTCAACCACGACGGAGAAGGCATTCGGTGCCCTCCTTGCCCCGTATCTGGAAGATCCCACCAATGCTTTCATCATCAGCTCGGATTTCTGCCACTGGGGCTCGCGGTTCAGTTACACGTACTACGTCCCCCAGGCTCCCAAACCTGGGCCAAAGCTTCCCCTCTCCGCCAATGCGTTACCACAACCAGGTGAGAAACCCGATGAATTCGAGGAGAGCGTCGAGCAAGTATCCGCTGGTCATGCTCTCCAGCGACGAGACCGCATATCGAGTCGCGAGCCAGCAATTCATGAGAGCATCTCCGCATTCGACATTGCCACAATGGCTGCCATAGCTACGGGAGAGACCGAGAATTTCCTTGATGTCATTCAGAGAACCGGGAATACAGTATGCGGTCGGCACCCTATCGGAGTTATCATGGCCGCCATCGAAGAGACTGCAGCCCGGGAAGATGGGAAGAAGGGCATGTTTCATTTCATTCGATATGAACGTAGCTCAGATGCAGTGGATGTGACCGATAGCTCTGTGAGCTATGTCTCAGCATTTGCCATTCTATAGGGGGCCATCTTCATCCTCTGTTCATACTCGCGGCACTTTCAAGGGTGAATCGCCAGTGTGGTTTGCCATTGCCAATGCTTCTTAATTCTGTCACTAACTTAGCGAGTTCAGTATCATTATCATTTTTTCCTCTTTACGTCCTATATCGTAAATTCTCTGGCATACTCACTCATACTCAAACACTCTTTCCCAATGTGGATGTGTAATGAACCGCCATCGCTAATCACGCAGACTTCAATGACATGGTGCTTAATAGACCTTGTTTCTAGATGTAAACCAAGATGTCACAGCACCTTATTTCGAATCCTGAGAATGGCCACGAGATCTGACATCCACGACTCGACTTATGGACAAAGGATTTCCACAGCAAGAAAATGAGGGGAAGAGCCAATTATCACATGCTGCCCGTACTATCACACTCCTGTTACACAAAAACTACAATAGTGATGTGTCAGTGGTTGAATTAAGGTAGCAAGCCATCCCGCCACATCTAACATGATCTCAAGGATTCGAACTGCCGTCCTCGAGGGGACGACAAGCCTTATGACTCCGTCCAAGGCAGTGAGCGCATGTTGACAGACTTTCAATCTCGTCTCCCAATAACTGCCGAAAAGCCCACAACGACACTTATCCCGAGCGTCTGGTGATGGCATCGCGTGGCTGACCGGCCAGGAATGCTACCCCGCAAACTCAACCTCGATACATTCTTCAGGGTTGCAGAGGCGAGTCAAGTTGTTGACAGTGCGTACTACTAGACTGCTGTAACCTGTTGCTTATACCGTCTCGGAATACTGGGCCGGGCTAGAGATTGACCATCACTTTGTAGATCATCGCGGTCGCCGGCACGAAGGATGCCTGTGATTGTACCCTATAAACCACAAGACCAATTCACTGTACCTATCAAAGGGAGATCTGACCGTGGGCACGTCAATCTCCTTGTCAGTGAATTAGACTACTGAAGGAGTTAAAATCCAGCACTTTCTAATTCTGGTTACCCTGAGAAAATTCACTCGGATCTATCCGAATCCATAGCCTCCCTCCCCCTCGCACTGTGAATTGAACGCGTCTCCGTTCCCAACCGCTTCAGAGAAACATTGTATACAACACTTTAAGATTCTATCAACCCAAATGATGTCGTCGCTTGACTGTGATGGCCCCGTGGCTCTTCCTGAAATGGCTCTTGCTGAAACCAGAGAGAGTATCCTCTTCGAAGAAGGGGCTTATTCTTCCGTTCATCCTGGCGCCAAAAGGCAGTTATCCATTGGAACCGCGCTAACTTCTTCACTTGGGACCCTTAAATCTTGGTGATATTAGCTTGGATATATTGTGTGATACCTTTGCAATCATTCGCTTCATGATAAGAAATTTCTGCTATCCTGAAGCTTGACTTCAAACCAATGATGGATGAGTGTAGAGTATGAGATCGTAAGATGTCTGCTGAGCCCCCGTTTTTGTCATCCAACGCTCTAGTGAATAATTATGTTGGTTTCACCCCTGAAAATATAAAAAGATACCTTTGTCCCGTCAATTTGCCCTGAGGCTATGCTGGTAGAGTGAAAGACAGAGAATCTCCTTTGTTCACTCCACGCTGCTTCATTCACTCCTTTGTTCACTCCACGCTGCTCCATTCACTCCTTTGAACAATAGTCGATCCTTCAATATTTTTAGCTACTCTTGACTTCTTTCCCTCATTTATTATAACCTCAGTAAACTTCTCCCACTTCATCGTTCACTGAAGGGTTTTTTTTTTCAACTTCATTGCTAAGCACAATGTTTCTCAAACCACTCCTTTCTGCCCTCGCTGGGCTCTCAGCAATCGCATCCGCCATTCCAATGCCAACGAGCTTGCAGAATAACATATCTACTAAAGCAGAAGCGACCGACAGACTTGTGTTCTGCCATTTTATGGTAAGAGAACGGCCTTCTAGCTAAACGCTCAGTAGATTAGTGACTGATATTGTCCTAGATCGGCATCACCAGCAACCGTCAAAGCGCTGCGGACTACGACGATGACATGCAGCGTGCCAAAGCTGTGGGAATCGATGCATTTGCATTGAACATCGGAGTCGACCCTTACAGCGACACTCAGCTCGACTTCGCGTATGAGTCGGCCGCAAAGAACAACATGAAGGTCTTTATCTCCTTTGACTTCAACTGGTACAATACTGGACAGGCCAGTGCCGTCGGTGCGAAGATCAAGCAATATGGCAGCCTCCCAGCTCAGCTCAAGGTCGATGGTAAGATCTTTGCGTCCTCGTTTGCCGGTGACGGTATCGATGTCTCTGCCCTAAACGCCGCGGCTGGTTCCGAGGTGTATTTCGCGCCCAACTTCCATCCTGGCGTTGGAGATTTCAGTGCTATTCAAGGTGCTCTGAACTGGATAGCATGGCCCAACGATGGCAACAACAAGGCGCCGACCCCAGGTCATAATGTCAGCGTTGCAGCGGGTGATGCTGCCTATATCAAGGCTCTGAACGGCAAAGACTACATTGCGCGTGAGTTCTGAAATCTCCCTGATGTGTCGATTTATGCTTATATGGCGTTTAGCTGCGTCTGGCTGGTTCTTCACCCATTTCGGTGGCGAGGTTCCGTACAGCAAGAACTGGGTATTCCCCTCTGATCTTCTCTGGTTTGATCGCTGGAAGGAGATCTTGACTCTCGGGCCGCGGTTCGTGGAGATTATCACTTGGAATGATTATGGCGAATCCCACTATATTGGACCTTTGTCCTCGCCTCATACAGATGACGGAGCTTCCAAGTGGGTGATGGACATGTAAGTGACTGAACCAACTTCTGGCTAAATTCATACAGATGCTGATAGTTTCTACCAGGCCGCACAATGGTTGGCTAGAGATGTCGAAGCCGTTCATTGCCGCCTACAAGGCCGGCGACACATCTGTGGACAAGTACGTCACGGAGGACAAGTTGATCTACTGGTACAGACCGACTCCAAAGGATGTGAGCTGCGATAACACGGACACTACCATGCAAGGAAATCCAAACAATTCCAGCGGCAACTTCTTCCGCGGCCGGCCCAACGGTTACGAGACAATGAAGGACGAAGTGTTCGTCGTGTCGCTGCTCAAGACCCCTGCTACCGTCGAAGTAACTTCAGGAGGAGCCAGCAAGTCCTTCATTGCAAACGCTGGAGCAAATGCCTTTGCTGCCCCCATGGGAGTGGGCCAGCAGAAGTTTGCGCTTTCTCGCGAAGGAAAGACCGTCATGTCCGCCACGAGCTTGAAAAACATTGTCGATACCTGCATCTGCGGCCTCTACAACTTCAACGCCTATGTTGGAACTGTGCCCCCAGAGGCAACCATCGACAAACTCCAACCGGCTGGTCTGTCGATGTTAAACCAAGGGTTGAATGCGCCATGCCCAACCAACACCCTAGGGCTTGCTATGCCTCGCATCACTGCTTACTGATTTATGACTTTGATAGTCCTTGAGCTTCGTTCCTTTTGTGCCAGTCGAGTTGTTGGATCACTTCGTTTCACAGGGAGGGTTAGGGCTCATTCGTTTCATTGACTTTGCTGGCCAAGTCTTAACCTTATACTTCGCTCCTCAGCATCCATGATGGACTTGCAGGGAGGAAGTGCCACTCGCTTTGAAATGGAAATCGTGTTGATAACGATGATGATGATACCACGAACAATTGACGTTTTACTTTGAAAGCTAAAAGTAGCAAGGATCTCCGTACCCGTCTTCCGTCGGCGCATTTAGTCTCTAGTACGTAGGCTGACAGCCGACAGTAGATCAAGAGCCAGAATCCAGGTGGAATTGTAAGCGTATTTGCTTCGCCATGATACCATCCCCTGGATGATTTAAATCCCTATCAGATCGGAGGTTCTCGGGGATCAGCGAGATTCCGAAACGGACCGAGACGTGCTATCTAAGTCTAAAACGCAGTGGGCACCTGTCAAGGGCTCAAGGCAGTCTCTTTAGTGGACAACCATCTTATCAGTGAACCATAGCGTTATCTCTCCCCATCCTTTATTTAGACCCAGGGCTCCTCTCAACGCATCTTATATTTCTTCACCGACTCTTTCGCATCATCATCCTACATTTAAAATCATACATATACACCATGAGGCCTCCAGTTCCTGAATTCACACGGATTTACTTGGCTACAGCTCCTGACGCGCTTACTGTCGGTTTCCCCTCCCCCACCAGCCACGTACATCCCGACGTCCGGATAGCGCGTGATTCGGATCTCCTCTCATTATAACAGCATTCACTCGTCTGTGAGACGTGAATTATCGGTCGATCCGGAATTCCTACACTATTGCTATTGCATCTCGAGTATATCGAGCCCATCATGATTCTTTAATTCTCACAAGCTGCGCGGACAGTTGAGTTGGGTCGATTTCGCGGAGACGACGGTGCTGGATTATTCATTTACGAAAAGAGAATCGTGTCTTGGTATCCGATTGTTGGTATCTTATCATGGCCAGAATCAAGCAGGGAATGTTTTCCTGGGAGGATGTGCTTGCCCAGCGGTATCAGAGTAAGTCAAGCAGTTTTCTTCTCTGGGATTTATCCCGATATGCATGTCTCTATGATAATCGCATCTATTGCGTCTGAGAGGGGCGATTGTCTTCATCCAATTTCCCAGAAGGCAGCATGACTCCTTTGGTGCGTGTATATCTTGTCAGGCTTGCGCCTGAAGAGGAGAACATTGAGGAATATGTTCATCATCATTATGGCTAACTAACCTACTTTTCAAGGCAACAAACCAGCTGGTCTGCCCAGAGCAAGAAGATCCAGTGCCCTCCCAGGTCGAAACCAACCCGCAAAGCAGCCTGACACACGGCTGGAATGGTCTTCCCAGCCGGACAGCTCGCTTCTCACCAAGCTCTGTCCTGAGATCCATCTTATGATCTGGGAGATGGTCCTGGGGGGCCTGCGTCTACACATTGTTCAACGGCCAAATCGCCGGATGGGTCATGTCGTGTGCCCCCTTGTGGAAACCTGCGAGATCTGCCAGGGAAACCTGCCGCAGCTGGCAAAAGACGGGAGTGCCAGGCCAAAGTCTCAACTTCTGGCACTCGCGTTGACTTGTAAGCAGATGTAAGTAGGATCTTATGGAAACCATTGTCCGATTTCTATTCTGACCAAATAACACCCAAGCTACTGCGAATCTATCCCATTGCTCTACTCCCTCAACACCTTCGAGTTCAGCAATACCTGGTCCCTCACATATCTCCGGCCCACTATTCCCGCGGAGTATTGGGACAGAATCCGCGAGGTCGAACTGCGCTGGGCATTCCCAGGCCACTGGCTTCCTAGCAAGGACCCCGTCAAGACGGTTTACTTCTCCGCAGGACGCCAGCAGTGGATCGAAACCTGCCGCACTCTGACACATATGAAGGGTCTGCAGTCCTTTACGCTGCAACTGATGGGGAATTGGTTCTGCGAACCAGTGGAGAAGATCCCCGTCTTCCTGGAGCCATTGAGGGAATTGAACCTAAAGGACCGGTGGAAGTTGCAACTGCCGCGGCAGCCATACTACATCAAAGAGATCCGTACTATTCATGGCGATCTGGGGATGAGGGGCATTGACTGCTCTGTTCGAGCTGTTTGATGGATATTCAAGGCTCAGAACATCGGATTTGAGGAGTGTTGTGCTATCCCAGTTGGGTGCAGGAGTACATTGTGGGTAATCCGAAACTACTTTTGTAGGTTACATTAACATATGCAGATCCTCAAAAGGATACGAGCGCTTTATCAGAGCACGCTGCGAGCATTATTTATATTGATACATCCCCATGAAGACTACGGAGCTGGGTTTACCCATCCTTTAACCGAGATTCGGAGTATATACGAAGCAACAGAGACTCTAGCCCGTAGTACAGCCCGAACTCCTCAGTTTTCTTGCATAACACTAAATTAATAGGGAAACTCATTCTCCAATTTCCCTGGACGCAAAGAACAAAACCAAGAACTCTCCCACTGACATCAGGTTTCCTAGTACTATGTAGCCAGTCCCTAAGTTCCTAACTAAACTACGTACTAACCCTAGACTAATCCACCGTCGGACCCGAGCCTCCCGAATTTCCGAACCTCTCCCGTGACCCGTTCCAAGCCCTGAAGCCATAATAGGCCCAAGAATCATGGAGGCTGGAGGCTGGAGCCCATCCAGAGCTACAGACAGAGCGAAGACCAAAGCCGTCAACGAAAAGAAAAGTCCCCCCCCAAAAAAAGCAGGGCCAGTAGTGCCCACCTGACTCCCTAATAATGCCCGTGAGTTGGACCTGGAAGTTCCCCCAACGGCCCAAACAGGCTAAACACCCTGTACTCTGTAGATCACCTCCCTATAGATCTTTCCCCCGATGATCCCATTCCCATCAATCACCCAATCACCCAATTACCAGAAACCCTCTCGCTTACGGAAACTCAGAAATGAACCCACCCAGTTAAACACCTCGATTTCGGAGTTTTGTCTATCTAGTTTCCTAGAAGACTGAATGACTAATTATAGATGGATCGGACATCCTTAGCTTCTTAAGCATGTAGCTAGGGCGCTTGGAACCGGGGACTCGGAGGGTTCAAGCTTGAAGCGGGTGCCTGGGCCTCCCCACTGGGGCTGGGCCCATCGTGGGGACTCAGACCAGCAAGTTAGCTACAGACTGCAGAAAAGAGGATATGGTCGTCGCATATCGTAATTTAACGGGGCTTGGGGATGGGAATTCTGGATTTGTGATTGATTGCCTGGTTGTTATGTGCATGTCTCGGAGATGTGATGGGGCTGGTTTAGATTAGGCTGACTCGCTGTTTTTGCTGATTTGGGATATGTGTACTGCGAGTCTGTGTGGATGCGAGGAAGAGGCTTTGAATAATCCGAAGAGTCTTGTTTCTGCGCGCCGATATTGTTGGTTGGTTGGTTGGTTGGTTGGTTGGAGTCTGTCCACTGTATTTTGATAGTCAATGTAATACGAGTTCTCAGCCTATATATCCATATATATATATATATTCCGCAATGCAAAGTGTCTATTCTTCAAATGATCTCCCTTGATTATCCATTGAGTTTTAGATGAAGGCTAAAAGAGATTATGAATGATTGATGTCTGAATTCGCCAGGAGTCAGAACCACAGAAAAAGGGAAAATTTGTTGCTTCATCAGAGTGCGTGATCACTAGACGCAAAATTCATTCCCAAGGCAATGGTAGTTTCCGTGTCTCATATAACATGGCATTGACTGGTATTCGCATGCGTTGGTACCTCCGGGTCCCGAATAGAGTAAACTGAAAAAGAAAGGAGAAATGAAAGAAAGAAAAGGGGGAATAAGTAGAGAAAGTATTATAGTAAGAATTAAAGGTATAGTCATGTCCGTCTCGCATCTGCAAGAAACAAGGCTCAAGAATATGATGACCACAGAAGATGCTCGAACGCAGAACGCCCTATCAGATCTCAAGTGAAGAAGAGAAAGAAATGGAGGTTTTTGATGTAATGAGTGTCGACATGAAGTCGCAGAATGCATGGGTAGTTTCATACCACATGTAGATAGAACGAGGCGATATCCTCGATCGGTAAATTCACGGACATGGATTCGAAGACAAACGTGTCTAAGATCTGTCAAGAGTCCTTGCCGACAGTATGTGAAGAGAGGCCGATATGCCGGAGTGTTGACAACTAGAATTCAGTTAAGATCGCGAATTCGATGGTACTTGTCGAATACACCCCCGATGCGAAATTGAAATTCCGTTCGTCTCAATGGTGATGCCCTGGGCCACGCGAAAAGCTCGCAACTAAGTCGAAGATCGCGTGATAACTTTGGCATCGTCCGAGAACCAATAACCAAGTAATGCACTGGTGAAGGTTTTATGGACCAGACTCAGCCGTCAGGGGTAAATTTGGCGTCGGGGTGACGCCAATCAGGAATCCCTTGAGACGGTGATAACCCAGAGTCATGAGGTGAGAAAAAAAGGATCGACATAAAGCGATTGATATTATCGACCATCTTGTGTGCGATCTGGACCCGACTGCGGATTTGTTTGTCGTGTTGCAAGCCAATCCGCTGAAGCTTCTTGTCGTGAAGTTGGTGTTTTCTGCTCGTCGGCTCGACCAGTCGTTTGTTGCCGAGGGAGCAAGTTGTTGATCTCCGCGGCGAGAGCAGAAGCCATGTACGCACGGAGTTCCTTTTCTTCGCGCTCGTCCTCCTTTATGAGTCGTCTCTGGTCTGTCTTGGACATGTTTTCGCGACGTTTTTTCCGAATTTCCTGAATGACCCACAAGAGCACTTCCTCCGGCGCACGGTTCCGCTGGGCACCGTGTTTGATCGGACTGCGCACATATCGTCTGGTGACATCTGTCGCACCGTCAATGGAGAAGGCAACACAGTAGGAAATTTTTCGGCCCCAACCTATGATAGCGATATCGGTCAGCGATTGTCCATACTATCAGTTAGCCAATAAAAAACAAAAAGAAAAAAGCTCACCCTCTGTGTAGAGACGAGGCTGATCCCACGCTTCTTCGCATGCATCAACGTGCACCCAGCGTCGTTGATGTTCCGAGTAAACTTCGGTCCAGACATAATCCTCCGAGTTCCATACCCAGCGAACCCGACCACCCAATGCTCTGCAAAACATGCTGAAGCAGTTGGCCCATTCGCCGACGCGTCCTCTCTTACTTTGTAGCAATTGCCAAACATCTGAATATCGCGGGAATCTCTCATACGCGCCGCAAGTTGATTCGGAACATCGGTAGAGTTCAACGCGAGTTGCACCACGGGCAGTTTCGTCAGGAGTAGGAGGGGTCATGCCCTGAGCGATTGTCGGCGTAAAGCATCTCGAGCACGGGGGGTTGTTGACAAATTGGAAGAAGGATCGTTTGAACCATCTGTATTTTCATTCGCAACGATCAGTATGACCCTAGAGAAGCGAAGATTGTAGATTCATGCAAGGAACCAACCTTAGTAGAGCCCTGATGACGCAGTCCTGATAGCCCCATTCAGGCTTTCCTCCGACGCTCGCTGCCTGGGCTTGCATAATCTGACTTTCCTCCTCCGCCTCAGAGTATAGCCGATCGAGCGGGATGAGGGATAGAGCTTCATCGAGAAGACCTGGATTTTCATACTTGGTCGGGGTGACGGATAGAACATGGAGGAGGTTTCGGAACTTTAGAGACTGTTGATCTTGCGGCGGCGAGGGAACGATGGGGAGGTTTCTTAATAAGGGTGATGCGGACGGCAATTGATGGTGTTGCTGCTGCTGCTGCTGCGGTGGTGATGATAGTGACTGGGATGACGAAGAGTGAGTAGCGGTCGGCGGCGGCGGCGGTGGTGGTGCCCGCGAGGGATGTGGTGGGTAGTATGCGGTGGCAGGAGACGGCGATTCTGTGCGAGATCGAGATCGTGATTGCTCCTGGAGAAGATTGAACCTCTTTGTCCGCATCAGTTGCTCGAACGCACGGGTCAGTTCGGTAGCATCGTAGGCGTTGGTGGTTGGCGCCCGTCTAGAGTGCTGGTGTCTACCGTCCGCCATGATGGTAGGGGGTCAACTACGCCAACAGTCGAACGATTCGAGACTCCAGATTGTAATGATATGCGATGATGCCCTTTCATAGAATAAAACAGAACCTGCTTTTGACCCAGCTTCACGAGAAAGTCAGTTAGTTGCGTTCGTGGTTGCTCAAAAGGAAATATGGTTAGGAGTGTGTTGTTGGGTATTGTGATGGATGGTCGCAGAGCCCAGCCAAGTGTGGCGACCGCTTGGCGCTGGTTAAGCAGCAAACCGGACAACTATGAAGGAAGTGATGTGGGAAAGCCAGAGGAGTAAGAGGTTACCTTTTTGCTATGCAATGACGATAGAAGGGTTGAATCTCGATTGACAAGAAGGATTAACGAGAGATGCTGAGAAGAAAGGGTCTCGGGGATTGAGGGTTGGTTGGCAGGGAGGGTGGACGACTAGGTAGAGAGAAGACTACAGGCGAAAGGGAAGGGGAAACGAAACGCAACAAGAGGGAGAGCAACCAGAGTAAGAGTGAAGCAGGAGTAATAGTTGTGGTATTAAGCTAGCCCATAATGACTTTTTTTTTCCTCTTTTTTTTTTTTCTTTTTTCTTTTCTTTTTTTTCTCTCTCTCTCTGTCCTTTTTCCCTAGTGCAGACTACCTACAGACACTACAGAGTATTTTCCCCCCTTCCACGCCAGCAGTGAGGGCGAAGCGTCGTCAGCCTTGGACTCCTCCCCCAATCACGGCCCCGCGAGAGCACCGCAAGCCGCGTGTGTCCCGCCCCGAAACAGTCAACGGTACCATGGCCAAGAACGCTTTCTGGCTGGCTCCCACGCACGCCCGATCTGGCTTATGCATACGGACTACTAACTACTCCTACTCCAAGACATACGTGTACTACAATACTGATCATTTCTCCTCCATCGAGGATGCATTTGCCGACGATCTTGGGTTCGTCTTGCTAGACTTGGAGCAGGCACAATAATGACAGCAGATATGTATCATCATGATAATCATCATCGTCACCATGTCACAATTCCATACTCAATTCATACTGTCCACATTCATTCATATACGTGAATTGTTGGCCTCCATGACTCTTGATGACTTCTGCAACACATAAAAACCGGACCTGAAAATCTCCCAGTACGATCATTGATTAACGACTCCAGTGATCCGGTCTTTAAGATCTGTGGTCATTTGTCTCCACCAGTTTGCTGAACAGCAGGCTGCACCTGGTTTATCTAATTGGCATCGTGGAAAATTTGGATCGAATCTGCTTATGAACGGTGTAGATAAGTGGTCTCTCTACCCTCTGAGGAGCCCGCTGATGAATCTTTCAAAAGCTTGGCTCCGACTACTCTGGCATTGGCTTTCTGCCTTTTCATCTACTGACATGACCACGCAAGCTCCGAGTTATCCCTCACTCACTCCAGTACTGGCCTTGAGAGATTTTCGTCGCCATCGTCGGTACCAATGATCTGTCATTCCAACGCCAAATCACACTGTATTGAACCTGTATCCGGATAGCTTCGTTCGACGCCAGGTAGTCTGTCTTACGCGGCGCTTTGATCAACAAACTCAAATATCTTCATCTGACGCTTGCGATGCGCACAGTGGCTATCGTACTGACTCCATGGGATACGTCAACACTTGGCTCAACAGACCCTGACTTGTTGACATACGAGAAAATGGCGGTAAAGAGTTTTGAAGCTCAACCCACCAGGAAGACTAACGACTTGAAAGGAGAGAGACATCTGGCCGACAAATGGGCGGGTTGAACCGACTGTGGACCATGCCCCCGACCTTGCCAACTGTTGGCTAACGAATCAAGATCGCATTGGTCATGTGCTGCCATGAAAATCGCAAGGGAACCGGCGCAGCTGCACGCGCCATGCGCCGTCAGACCCAGATTCCAGGGCAGACTGACTTTCGAGTCTCGACGCCTTACAAAGTTACGGCATCTGTCCAAAGAACGTATCTCTTCCGTTATAGAAGACACTGACAGCACGCGCGTAAGTCGCACTGCAGTAGCGATCGAGTGAACGTTGTTGATCCTGATGGTCCTGACTTGGAAGTCTCGGGTCTCGGGGAGATCGTGGAGCATGGCCACATACATGCGTTGAGTGACTTAATGTCAATAACCCATCGAACCTCAGGTGAATATAGCTTATTATGAACCCATATTCATCTTCAACTGAGTTGGAAGTCAAGGCCACTATCCGATATCGATTTTCAGCCCTGAATCCTGCCTATGGGCAGTAAATAGTGCACAGGCACACTGATGAGTTTGCATCCCCACTCTGACAGCAGGTCAAAATACGTATGCAGTATGCACACACATCGACATAACTATGAACACGCTCGAGTAGCCTATTGCCACCTCCTCCCAAAATCCCTACGAGCTATTACTCCATACGGCCGCGTACTCCGTACACCCAGACATGATTATTTCATATCAACTCATCACCCACATTTTCAGGCCCTGAAATTCAAAGCAACCTCCGGGAGAATAACAAAACGCGAGAACAGAATATTCAACAAAAAGAAGAATCAACAGACCAGCCTGATCACCTAGACTCTGGACTTCCAGACTACGCCGTAGCACTCACTGTACAGTACCTATAGATTACTCCGTAGAATTAGATACTGAGCTCCAGTCGAACCTACGTAGTACAGTCGTCCCTCGACAGTCCCAGACTCCCAGAGTCCCAGGATCTGATTTACCGCCAACCTGCCTAGACGGGACAAAAGTGGACGAAATGAGTGGCGGAGACGCGCAAGCGTCCGTCTTGGCATTAGACAAGATCCGACTAGCGTCTGGCCAGGGCCCCCACGGCGCTAAACCGTGCTCGGCCGACGGGCTGCAAATTGACAAGTCACCAGGCCCGTCAGCGCCTCAGGCACTGCACGAAAACAAGCCCTAGACCCTGATCCAGGGGGGCTTGGCACATACCTCGGCCGCGGTCTGGGTGGCTCTGGGACAGTCTGGCTGCCTGCACGCCTGCAAGACCTGATTTCTGAGTTTCGGGCGCGGGAATTCCTCCTGAGTTGGATTGCTGGGTTTTTTTTTTTTTTTTTTTTTTTTTTTTTTTTTTGGATGATGGCTGTAGGTTACAACTTACTAGGTTGTAATGTTGTTCGGTAGTTGTACCCTTGTGGGTAGTAGGTAGGGATGGAGAGCCGGGGACTTCGATCATTCGATGACTACAGGATATGGTTCCCGCCCTGTACTCTGCAGAATTACGGATCATGATTCATCACTTGGTCCATGAGTTTGAGAGTATAGACTCGATACTTACTGCCTGAGTCACTACTGTCAGTCAAAAGTCACGGGCAACTATGGTAATTGGTAACTCATCCTTCCACTCTGTAGTCCGTAGTCCTGTAATCTAAATAGACTAAGCGCCTAACCATCACCGGTAAAGCTCAAAAGCATGACTGTGACCAATGTGCGGCTCCCCATTTCTTCCCGATTCGTCTTTAGCCTCTCCAGTGGAAGAGTACACCACCAGCCCTACCAGAACCAGGTGAGTGCGAGTTGCAAGTTGCAACTATGGGTGACGGTAAAATTACCAAGTTGGGGTTAGCGCTTCTATTTCGGGTATGGCTTACGTTCTAGCTATGGAATGTCGCAATGCATGCTCTATACAGAGTACATCCAGAGGCCTTGAATCAACCACCCTGCCAGCATCAAGAAAAACAAACCTATCCGCGAACCTCACGGTCTCATGCGGGTGGGTAACCATAAGGGTAGTCCACCCACAGTGACTAAACTCTTCCTTCAACAGTCTCTGCATGAGCAATGAAGTCTCACTGTCAACTTTACTATCTGCTTCGTCGAGCACAATACCGCCATGGCTGTGGCCCCCATAGCGGTTCATGACTTGATGTTTCCGCGCGAGTGCACGAGCGAAGCTGAATAGCTGCTGTTGGCCTGTGCTCAAAGAGAGTTCGCTCTCGGCGGTGTCGAGATCACCCTTCTCCCTGATCATTGTCCCACAGACCTACCGCGGTGAGGGCGGAGATCATTAGTTCGTCAGAGTTGGGGTTCATATTGCCGGTGGTATGATCTCTGGGGCTCAGGTTGAAGCGTACACAAAAGGCACAGGAGCAATACTCCCAAGGAAGCAAGGTAGTGATTCACAGCACGCAAAGGGCACAATTTCTGACCCAACAGCCACGCGCAACTGTCACTCCATCCTCTAGACTCCATGTAGTAAGAAGAAGTATTTATGGATGCTGGCTGCTGCGCCAGGACTGAGCCACACCCTGATCTGACTCCAGACCTCTAGCCAGCCGGCTTGAAGTTCCACGAACCAACGTAACAGGTTTGCTTATCACATTTTCCCACAGGGTACGGTCATGCCTTCATTTGTTAACCAACTATCTCAGACAATGCACGCAAGGCATCTGGGGTTGGACCGTCATCCATCAATCCGCAAGCAGTCGAAGCAAGTTACCTCCAACTCCCGAATCGAAGATTTGTGCGGTAGATGAGAGTTAACCAACCTTGGCAAATCTCGACCGTGGGTTAATAATGGTTAAAGCACTGTGTTCCAATGATGAACTCATGGGTGGATAATAGCACTTCTGGACTATCGACGTAAATCAGTTGAGAAGAGCTTGTTCTTGTCTGCTTGTAGCGGTAGATCATGGATGCAGGATTGATGTCAGGAAGACTTGTTAGTAAGTGATGCTGGATAGACAACCACCAAGCATCAACTGGATCTTTGGTTACTTCATCTTGCAAGATCATCCCCTGTCCTTATAGGATAACCTCATGCGATCTATGCAGGGAATGGAAGCAAACAGACAGAATAATCAGGGAAGAAACGCCATATGTCTTGGTTCATGTCTGCGTTGCCGAATTAGGACTATTAATCTATTTGTTTATGTTTAGGTCATCGCTATGCAAAGACGGGTTGCCACACTTGAATCCATGCCTCCATGGATGAGACAAGATGAGATGAGAAAATGAAATTCATAAAGAAATGTCTGTCGTCACAATCATGTCGAGCACTGAAGTAGTTCTGCCACGAACGATTTGCCCCAGAAAGCACTACACGAAATCAGCAATTGCGCCCTTGGTGATGATCACATCGACAAAAAAAAAAGGAAACCTACCTGGTGTACTTGGAAATGTACTTGTAAAGTTTCTCGAACTTCTGAGCGCGCTGGTCATCACTCATTGAAACGGCCTCGTGATATGCCCTCGCCAGTTCTTCAGTGTTCCACGGGTTGACAACCAGACTGCCGTTCAAGCTTTGAGCGGCTCCAGCGAATTCGGAAAGAATCAACACGCCCTTGCGCTTCTGTTGCGTTGCGATGTACTCGAACGATACCAAGTTCATGCCATCGCGAGTAGAGGAGACAACGCAGGCATCCGACGCAGCATACAGGGCGATAAGCTCGTCGAAACTGACTGACTTGTGCATAAAGTGGATGGGCATGTAGTCCACAGTTCCTAGGCAAAGGTATCAAGGTTAGGAATGAGCTCTGATGACGATGCGGGGTCGGGCAGATGCATGCTTACCGAACTTGCCATTGATTCGGCCCACGAGTTCGTTGACCACCGCTCTCAGATTCTGGTATTCTTCAACGTCCTGTCGGCTGGGAACGGCGACCTGAACAAGGACAACCTTGCCCACCCACTCAGGATGGTTCTGAAGGAAGACCTCCAGGGCGTGTAACTTTTGGGGGATGCCCTTGATGTAATCCAGGCGATCTACGCTGACCATCAATTTGGTGCCCTGGAACTTGTTTTCGAGGCTGGCAATGCGGTTCTGCACCTTGGGGGTCTTCAGCCCCTCGGTGAACTTGTCGGGATCGATGCCGATGGGGAATGCGCCCACGGAGACAGATCTGCCTTCATATTTGACGCTGCTTGGCGTTGTGACGAGGCCTCTGTTGCACATAGTCAGTGACTGTCACAAAGTCAACAATAGAATGACCTTAATCACGTACAGCAAGTGAGAACAACTGCTCAGGAAATGACGAGCATAGTCATAAGTGTGGAACCCGATCAGGTCGCAGTGCAGGACACCGCGCAAAAGCTGGGCTCGAACGGGGAGGATTCTGTAGATTTCACTGCTGGGGAAAGGGGTGTGCAGGAAAAATCCGATCTTGTTGTTTTTCTTGCCTGCGGCCCGGAGTTCCTCACGCAACATCTCTGGCAGAAGCATGAGATGATAATCTTGGACCCAGATCATGTCTCCATCCTGCGCTTCCTGTGCGATTGTTTTGGCGAACAGCATGTTGGCCTCGCGATAAGCGTCCCAGGCTCCCTCATCGAACACGATCTCACCCGGGTGGTAATGCAGAAGGGGCCACAGAATCGAGTCTAAATAGAAAAAAAAAAAAAGGCTCTGATTAGCAAGGTACGACCAAAAGAGGTGAGAAGCGGGAGGAGTAAACATACTGGAGAAGCCATTGTAGTGGCGGTCGGCCAACTTGTCATCCATGAACACCGGGATCGCATTGAATTCATCCTTCAATCTCTTCTTCACCGAGTCGATCTCGTCGTCTGGAACCTCCAGACCTGGCCAGCCATACCATTGGAAGGTGGTTGTTTTCGACAGACCGCTCAGCCCAGTGACCAGTCCCCCTGACGACATAGAAAACTCATACTTTCCTCCATCAGAACGTCGGATTGTGATCGGTAGACGATTGGAAACAATCAGAAGGCGATTATCGCCTCGCGACCCGTTTGTTTCGGCCATGAGGAGGGAATTGGTAAGGTAGATGGATGTTTTAATCTGAGAATAACCACTACTTGGGAGTCTTGGAGATGACCAAAAAGTGCTGCCCCGCTTTGAAAGGGGAAAAGGGTCGATGGAAGGGATGGATGAGATGGAAGCAATTGAGATGGGCCGATGATGATATTCTAGATTAAGCGATGATGATTCTGGGACCAGGATGAAGCAAGAAAGCAGGAAGAGGAAAAACTTGGAAGCTGTTAGACTGTTTGGGGGGTCAACTTTGAGTCCAGTCACTTTGACGTCTGGCCGGTTGCACTATTCCGGTGATGTTTTAGTTCTTAGTCCATGTCTATTATATCTACCCGCAAGGACACACACATCCTTATCACCGTTAGTTTTTATTATTAAGTGTCTCAAGTGTGCCATTGTAATGTAGTGTTGAATGCCCTACGAGGGAAATATCAGGGAAACCGTTTAAGATCAGACCATTCTGTATGTCTGTATGTCTGTCTATTAGTTAGGCTCCCTTGAGTGTTCATGACCAGCAACAATAACAATAATAATGACAGTAATAATGAGGGGCAGTTTTGTTTGGCAACGCCCAGAGTTCCTGTTTGTCTAGACTCTTAGGTTGGATCGAATCATCGAATAGTCGAGAAACATCTGTTGGACTGACCATCTATCATATTATCATATAGTTAGTTAGTCACTTCGTCACTTAGTGGGGATACCATACCAGTCTATCATCTTCATAGATCATCTGCGGATCTGCCCGGATTTCGCAGTGACGAGGAATCATTACCATTGGGCCATTCCTTGGTCAACTGCAATCCCAATGCAAGTATCTAGTTTAGTGGCAGAGTACAGTCCCCTAGTCTCTTAGGCTCTTGGGGTTTGGAACTTGGGGGGGTCAGCAATGCATGCATGCATACCATTCCCTAGTGTGCCTAACTACCTACTACCTGGGGATCCTGGACAGTACATACTGTGTAGTACTCTCTGTACATGCGAACTATCTCGTAGGAGTCATCCATAACAGACTCAATAATAATAATTAATAGATACTCCTGTTAAGTATTATACGAGCCCAAAGCAGTCACTAAAATGAGGGGGAGGGAAAAAAAAAAAAGAATAGAACGCAATTAAATTGCCTTTCTCTCTTTCTCTCTCTCTCTCTCTCTCCCTCCCTCCCTCTCTCTCTCTTCCTCTGCTCCGCCGTCCAAGCAGAAAAAGGCCTCATGTTGAGACGTTTTTGAGATAGATTGATTGATGCCCAAGGCACCAGACAGGAAAATCCTCCCGGATGGCGCCCCTCCGTTCGTCGTCTTCCATTCGGTTTCATTCTTGATGTTCGGACTCTCCTTGAACTTACTACTTTCTCTCACCTGGATCTATCTAATTATTTTCTTGCTCTTCCCTAACCCGAAAAGCCCAGAATGTTCTTTTCTTGGAATCATATCTCTCAGCCTGGAGACCGTGCAGCTTCCTTGGCCCAATCATTCACGTCATGAACCCCTCTCTTTCCGTTGTTTATTCACAAGATTGCAAAGCCATCCTGAATATCACCGGGAGTTTCAGGATGCTTTGGCCTGGATAACCCGCAGGAACATATAGCCAGCCACTTTTCTCTTCCTTCAAGGCGTTTGACCCTCAAACCATCAGGCCAGTCCCACCACTAGCCATCCTCTCTCCATTCCACTCTTGTTACTACTAGTAACTGTACTGCTCTGTTCTCTCTTCTTCTTGAGTTATCCAGTTATTTCTTGACTCCGCCATCTCTTGGTTCTCGTAAACTCGGTCCACTCTTCTCTCTTCCCCGACTTAGATCGATCAAAAGTTTCTTTTGACGGTTGAACGAGAAGGTCTTGGTGCCTCTTGTCAAGCATACCTGCCATCGGGAACCATGACGGTCTACATAGCTTCCCTGTATGTATGCCCCCCCCTCTTGCATGCGTTAGCTCAACATAGTTAGCGGGCATCGTCTGACAAAGCACATTTTAGCTTCCTTCCATACACCATTGACTTCAAAGCTACGGAGTTGAGGCATGCTCGTCGCAAATCTTCTACCAGCAGCCACCACAGCAACAATGGTGTCATTGGACGGCTGGCTGAAGCTCGCCAGCGAGGCCACAAGCATTCTGTCAGCTTGTCGAGGACTCCTGGTGCGACAACAGACGATGAGAAGATCTTCAAGCCCTACATCTCCCGATCTGCAAGCGAGATTCCTCAGGCAGATGATCCTAATGGTCCAGGCCTAAGTGAGCCCAGAACCGTTCCTTGGGGTCAAAGCCGGAAATTCAATCAGCCCCGATCCACAGCTCAGATTCATCTCACTCCCTCCATCCTGAGCCGCCCGGAGGGAGGAGATGAATCGACCAATAACGATGTTCCTCCTGCGACTCCAGATTCTGAAGAGGATCATGGAAGCCCACGTGCGTTGCTATCGATCGACGACTGGGTTGTCAAAGCCGCAGAACAGGGCAACGGGGGCCTGCGCAATGGAGTCTATGCCGCTGAGGAAGCGGGTATCCTCACTGACAAAATGTGGGTGGGTACCTTGGGCATGCCCACAGACTTGCTCAAGGATGAAACGCTCGCCAGTATTTCCGAGACACTCCAGGATGAGTACGAGTCGATTGCCGTCTTTGTGGGTGACAGCGAATTCGAAGGCCACTATGCCCATTTCTGCCGCGCTGTCTTGTGGCCAGCTTTCCACTATCAGATGCAGGAGAGTCCCCGACACACCGAGTACGACGACTATTCCTGGAAGCAATATGTCAAGGTCAACGAGGCCTATGCTGATACCATTGCCGCTCGCTGGCGCCCGGGCGATAGCATTTGGGTCCACGACTACCATCTTCTTCTCCTGCCAGGGATGCTGCGGGAGCGGATTCCTCAGGCAGAGATCGGCTTCTTCATGCATGCTGCCTTCCCGTCTTCGGAAGTGTTCCGATGCCTGAACCCTCGCAATGCCCTGCTGAACGGGTTGCTCGGCTCCGATTTCATCGGTTTCCAGACAGACGAGTACTGTCACCACTTCCTTCAGACATGCAGCCGTCTCCTCAGTCTCGAGGTGACGGTCGACGGCGTTCAACTCCAAGATCGCTTTGTTCGTGTGAAGAGTATACCCATCGGGACCGATGTCAAAGCGCTTGATGATCTACGACAAAGCCCGGAAGTGAAAGACTGGATTGCAAATATCACGTCAAGGTACAGTGGAAAGCACCTGATTGTCGCGAGAGACCGTCTCGATGCACCAGGTGGGATCAAGCAGAAGCTTCTGGCCTACGAACTGTTCTTGAAGAAGTATCCCAAGTGGAGAGAAAATGTAAGTTGTTTTACACTTTCATTGGACTTACGTCAAGAAGCAATGGCTAATCGACCCAGGTCGTCCTGATTCAAATCGCCTCGGCGTCTGAAATGCCAGAACTTGAATCGCAGATCTCGAAGGTTGCGACTCGGATTAATTCCAAATACTCGTCGCTCACCCATCAGCCGCTCGTGCTCCTAAGTCAAGACATCAGCTACTCTCAATTCTTGGCTTTGATGAGCGTCTCGGAGATATTCATGGTCACGAGCTTGCGTGAGGGGATGAACCTGACGTGCCATGACTATCTTCACTGTCAGGACGGCAAAGTGACATCCCAAACCCATGGCTCTCTCATCCTGAGTGAGTTCACCGGCAGTGCCTCGATCTTCACTGGTCACGAATTCCTCGTCAACCCATGGGATTATAGGGAAGTCGCAGACGCGATTAACAAGGCACTCGAGATGTCCGCTGAGGAGAAGCAACGAAATTGGGAGTTTTTGCTTGAGAGGAAGGCCCCACACTCTGCCGTCGCCTGGTGCAACTCATTCGGAACGACGCTTTCCGAAGCTCACAGCGCGCAACTCTCCCGCGAACTCAGTCTCGTTTCGACGCTTTCAGTGCCTTCGCTGAAGGAGTCGTATGAGGCGGCAGGCCTGCGGCTTTTCTTCCTTGAGGACGACGGAACACTCGGCCCTGCCACCCCTGACGCTCTCGAGACGATGTCCGTGCTGGAAACCCTCCTTCAAGACCCCAAGAACCGAGTGTACATCACCAGCAACAAGAGTCCGGAACAGCTTGAAGCACGGTTCGAAGCGGTCTCCGAGAGAATCGGCTACATCGCCGAGAACGGTTGCTTCAAGCGAGAAATCGGAACAACCCAATGGAAGCCGCTGGTGGACATGGAGAGAGCGAAGGACTGGCGTAGCGGCATCCGCCGCGTCATCCAATACTACCAGGAGAGAACCGACGGCAGCGTCATGGAAGAGCGTCGCTGCCTGCTGACCTTCTGGTACGATCAAGCCCACGACCCGGAGATCGCCGCGCGCCAGGCCTCCGACCTCGCCGACCAGCTCAACGGCACGCGCGGCAACGAGGCCATCCGCGTCGTCCTCACGGAGGGCACGGTGAGCGTCGAACCCCTGGACGTCACCAAAGCTAAGGCCGCGGAATCCATCCTTGAAAACCTGCCACAGACCCCTGACTTCCTCCTCGTGGCGGGCGGCTCCCGCGGCGACGAGGCCCTCTTCCGTTGGGCCAACCGCCTCCATCTTGACGAGAAGATCGCGCACGTCGCCACCGTCACGGTGGGTGTTCACGCCACGGAAGCTACGGCCGTACTGCCCACCGGCATGAGCATCGCGGATGTTGTCAGCGATCTGACCTCCGCGTCGGCGAGCGTAAATGGCCACGCGCCGGTGGTAAACGGGGAAGACGCCGCGATCGTGGATGGAGAAAACTCGACGATCGTGAACGGAGATGAGGCAGTGATCGTGGAGAAAGAAGACGCAATGATCGCGAATGGGGAAGACGCAACGATCGTCGTAAATGGAGGAACCTCCTCCACGATCGCCACCGGGGGAAAAGAAGACGCAAAGGTCGCGAACGGAGACGATGCAACAATCGTCGTAAATGGCGAGACCTCCTCCACGATCGCCAACGAAGAAGACCCGACCCCGACTCCACCCTCGTGACTAACGCACCCGCAGTCACAATGAACCGGTGGATTTCCTGCTACGATACCTATTGACATGAAGACACGATTCCCCTTCTCTTCTTTCCTATGTACCTTACCCTGAGCCTGTTCTTATTTTTACCTTCTTCATCGTTGTCTCGGAAACATGGCATACACGTGGCGATTAATGGGTAATAATGTCTAGACGCGTAGACAGACCAATATACATTTTTATTTTCGATTCCTACCTACCCTCACAATGCCCCCTCCCTAAAGCCGGGTAAGTGACAAGAGATGCGAGATGTGAGGTCAAAAGTCGAACAAAAGGAATAAAAAAGAAAGAAAAAAAGTAAAAACGAGATACATGTCGATCAAAAGGATACATGCGCGCCATACTGAAACACGACAAATGTCCAATCCAGCCCGACCGAAAACCCAGCATACGGTGGACAAATCCCCTTGGGAATATTATAACAAACGATAGGAGACAAAACCAGGATGACATGATAGGTAAGAAGGAGAAAGAACATTAATTCATCAGGGTAGTGTGAATGGGGAGAACAAGGCAACTTACGAGTCCTTCGCGAAGCCGCCAATGCTGATATATGCTGTAAACTCTTGTTGTTAAGATAGCCTCAGCCACCCACACCTGAATTATGTGAATTGTCTTTTGGGGGTGAAATGGAGGATGAAGTTCCAGCCGAGATGAGCGTTGGAGCGACGCGTCTCTTCTTCGGCGGCTGTACTTCTGCCGCGGAACCCTGTTTCTTCGCGTCCTCGTTCTCGGATTCGCTGATGTCTCGTTTGCCTAGTACGCTGTTGCTCACGGAGTTGGCCCCGCTTTGAGAGACTGTCGACATAGGAGTCTGCGGTGGTGTAGTAAGAGGCAGAACAGGCGGCTGGGCCGACTGAGCAGCGGTAACCAGCGGTACTGACCCTAGTGTAGGCGTCGGGTTGTTGACCACGGATGCCGCCGTCACCTGTTGAACAGGCGATTGTGCGGTCACTGAGCATGCAGAGTTGGTTCGTGCGGGACTCGCTGGGGGCACTTGGGTTGACTGGACGGTCACATTTGAGCTCACAGGAAGCTGACTCAACCTAAGGGGTGCTGGAGCTGGAGCTGGAGACGGCGCGGGAGCTTGGTTGGCAGACGGAGTACCGGAGCTTGCTGCTTGCTGCACTGCTGGTACCGGAGCGGTGTATGGCTGGCCCAGTTCTCCAGGCGCAAAGGATAGCGTCGAGCAGAAGCCGTCGGACGAACTCATGATTAATGTCAACCCATCATTCGACCTAAAATGCGTCAGAGGCCTGTTTGAATATACTTATATATTGAGAGAGATTGATCGAACTCACCATGTCAAATCTGTGAACGTCGCAAAATGCAGATTGCTCACCACACACAACGGTGTCTGTTGCTGCGTATCGTACACCAGAACAGCATCTTGCGTAGCTACCGCGTAGACGATCCGATACGGCAGCGAGAAAACAGGGCCGGGGCTCTGACCAGCAGTAGCTCCTTCACCCTCAGCGTTCTTAGACGCTGTGTTCGGTTTCGATGAATCACCCGTAGAAACATTCGACGATGGGGGCTCCATGGAAGGCTTTTCGGGAGTCGGCTTCGTAGAGACTACTGGCTCGGGAAGGGATGAAAAGGATTCTTCTACAGAAGAAGTGTCCAGAGTGATATGTCGAGCAGGCTGGGGAGTCTTCCGCAGGGTGTAGAATATTGGAGAGCATTTGACCGCAACAGAGGGTTTCTTGTGACCCGGGAGATGAGAAATTGGAGGTTTGTTGAAGCCCGCACGAGTGTAGACGTAGACTGTGTTGATGACCTCGTCCGTGCTTTTCGTGGGATCAGTGGCAGAAATATGTGAGGTCTTGTATTGGCCAGCGGGAGTAAAAAGCAAACTCCCGTCAGGAGCAAATGTCAATCGTCTGAAAAAAGATGTGAAGGTCTCGTTGGCGTAGATGTTAGTATTCCTAACAGATAAGCCACCCAGAACGCTTGGCGATGGTACTTCCAATGGCTTCACAGCAGGCAATGGTAGGGAGGGTGCCGGCGACGCAGATCGGCGGATTGAAGGAGAGCCGAAAGAAGAACGACGACTATGAGATACTGGAGGAGGATCCATCGGCAGATTAGAGGTCAATGGAGTACCCGGCGTCGAGGGAGCAGGGGAAGCAATTGCGACCGAATTGCTTGTTGGCTGGGATCGAATTGAAGGATCTGGCGGAGCAGGACTGCTGGACGAGATCCGTTTGGCCGGAAGATCCATTTTCAGAAATTTTCCATGAGAGGTGAGTGTGAATTGTCCGTCCTTTGTCTTCAAGCTGTAGATGTGAACGGACCGATCTGAAGACTGGGTTGCGACAAATTCATTCAAAGGATCCCAAGCCACTCCTTGAACATAGTGTGAGTGCTCTGCGATCTGCCGAACCATTTGTCCTACGGGTTATCAAGTATCAGCGCCATGTCGAAGCCGGAAATCCAAAGGGGTGTCAAGGCGACGAACCAGTTTGGGCGTTGTAGATCCGAGCAATGTTGTCCATGCTTCCCGTAATGATGAAGACTCCATCTGGAGACCACGCCAGATCATAAATCTCAGCACCGGACGATCGACACATATGCTTTACACGCCATGTTTCTCGATCATCCGAGCGATCCTCCCCTAGTCCAGGTTGCGTTTGCAGCTCTGACGGGACCCAGAGCAGAACATTGCCATCATCCCCAGCCGAGGCCAGCATCTCGCCTGTTTTGATTGATCAGAACATGATTGCTCAAGCGTAAACAGACCGACATGTGTACCTTTGGGACTGAAACGGACCACATTGACAGCTTGTGTATGTTTCACAAGCGTACTGAGATAGCTCACTTTTCGGTCTTCGCCTGTGGACTCGACCTTCCATAGCTATTGATTCGAGGGTCAGAGAAGGACAGAGACGAGATTGGGAGATGTGGGTGGGAGAAAGCATACTCGGACATTGTTATCACTAGGTGAAGAAAAGTAAAGTTAGCAAGAATTCAATGACTCGAGTCTGAGAGGGTATTTAGCCATACTTTCCGGCCGTCGCAAGACGCCCTTTGCCATTGGGATCGAAATGAGCGGAGTAGATTGGGGCATTGTCATTGTGCCACGCGATGAGCAATGGCGTAGCCTTCATGGTGAGCACAGAAGCCCAATGCCCCTGAAAAGGCCAAAATAAATATAATCACGAGAAGTTGAAAGAGAACCGCGAAGAATCGCTGTTCAGGAAATCGAGGGTTGCGCTGGGATGGGGTTGCTTCAAGGCTGGAATCTGTACGAGTGCGTGTAGATAGATAGTTTGCAAAGTTGCCGTAATAGCTGCTGTTGTTTGTGGAGCGAGGTATGTACTGATGGCAGCAGATTGAAAGAGCGAAAGATGTAGCAAATTATTGCTGACAGGAAGATGGAATGATTAGAAGAAAAGAGACAAAGCCAAGCAGCTGAGGCCAAACACAAAGACAGTGGTCAAATGGTGATGTCGTTGGTCGGTGGTTTGTTCCTTCGTTGCCCGTGTCTGTCCGTGTCCGTTCCTCGTGTTGCGTTGCTACGCGCCCGCTTTCATTTTAACCCATTTGGGCTTCCCTGACCAGGCGTAAGCCGATAATGGCAAAATGCACATATCAAAGTCTCTGTCAGGCCGGGTTTATCGAGTGCTAGCATGCTATTGGATCAAGTTTGGGAGATATGAAGATTTCCGAATCGCCGACCCTGTTGTCGCATATACTATTCTCTTCTCCTTTCATTTCTGTTGACAGAACGCTCTGAGCAAGACAGACCAATCCCCTCATGATGACACCAAAAGCCTCGGTGATTTATTATAAGACTACGAGCTACCGGCTGACCAAGTATTATAATGCAAAGATGACCAAATAATAATAATTCATTCCTCATACCATGTTGAACGCCAAACACTCGCTTCAAAATTCATAATGCCACATCTTTCCGACCGAGATAGATACAGTGATCCAAAAGTAATAATACAAGGGACAGAAGATCCGTGGAAAGAGATAAAGGAATCCAGAGAAGATGATCAGGTAACCCATTTGCCAATAGTCTCTCCAAACCAACTGACAGCCTTCTCACGACGTTTCGTACGCGCATCTTCGTGTGTCTTCATGAAGGGACTGGCCTCTTGGATATACATCTTTTGCTGTTCGATCTGCGCATTGTGAGTCCGGATCTCCAATTCCCTTTCGTGCGGTGTAAGCTTCTCCAGTGGCTTCGAGGGTTTGAAACCAGGCGGGATCTGCTCGCCACCAGGGATCTCGACATTTCCTGGGGTATCGCTAGGTTTAGCTTGTTGAGAGTCGGCCTTGGGGTTGAAAAGCGATGTGAGCGGCGGCGGTTCCAGACCAGCCGCGCGGGCTTCCGCGGCTTGTTTTTCATAGTTGAGCATCTGGTGATATAGTTTGTCTGCATGCATTTGTATCCGTTCTTCCCTCTCCTCGTCCCAATCGAATGAGGAAGCGTAGCCTAATGCTTGGAGGAATTTCTGGGTCCGTGTCAGCATCTACTGCCCATGAAAAAATGACCCGGAGTGGTTTTAAGCTACTTACAGCTTGCGTGGTGAAGCAGCGAGAGAACGTCCCGTTCTCCTCGGAGCACGCAGTCGCACGAGCCTGCAATCGCTTTGCCCATGTACCAGTTTGAAAACATAAGGTCAGGGCCTCATGCTCCAGTGCGCAGTTCTCCATGGCGGCCCGGTGCACGGTATCATTATGCTGCTTGTATTTCTCAATCACCCTTTCCGCACCTTTTGTCACAGATCCGGCCTCTTCCTGAGGAGGTGTGTATGTTTTCCAGAGGTGAGCATAGCGGCCGTCGGGGAAGAGCGAGGCGGCGGGAACGGACGGTTTGGATTCATCGGTCTCTGATGAGGCGCTTGAGGGAGTATTCACAGGTTTCGATGGCTGTTGCGACGACGGGGCAGGTGTTGTTGGCACGTATTTTGCTGGTGCTTCATTTTCAAGGTACTCTCGGAGACCCGGGTCAAGCTTCTTGACCGGATCATCTTGATTTGAATTGCCCCAGAACCAGCCCATTGTAGCTCACTTGCGCGTCGGTAAGAATTCGAACAATAAGAAAGAAGGAAATGGGACAATTTCAATAGCTTGAAGCCAAAAGTTAACGTACCGACAGAGAACTGCGGAGATGTCGAGACGCCGCCGATAATTTGGGCATTTCCCGCCAAACCGCTTTGGGCCAATTCAGTGGGCGCCCTCCATCAACTCCATCCAGCTGCTCTTACAACAACAGAGCTCCATCTTCAGTTCTACTTTTAGCATTTCGCGTCAATTTGCGCGTTGATTTTGATGGTAGCGCCGCTTCTCCATCATGAATAACAGTACAATTTCACGCTCCATTCCACAAGGAAACCAAGCTAACGAGATGACAACAGACCGAGAGGAGCGGCTGCAGATGCGGCAGCGCGGAGCAGCGTACGCGCATCGCCTTTTTGACCCCGCGATCAATTGCTCAAGAGATGCGAATGCTAACACTCCAAGATATGCTACAGGACGCGCAAACCTAAAGAAATCGACTTCGGATTCTCGTTTGGACTCGCCTCAGCAGCAGAAGAGCCCACCTCGCAGACCACGTCACAACCGGCTGAAACTGGGATTGTTACTGAGCTGGCTGCACCTCCAGCACCAACACCAGTTCCGGAGGTAACAGGACCGCCGAATGTATCGCCCGTAAGGGCGCCGTCTGTATTACATGGTCTGGAATCAAGTCAGCGGACACCAAGAAGCGCGCGCAATGGTCTCCCCGAACGACCGTCGATGTTCGATATCCCCTCCGACGAGAACGTGGAGCTTGAGCGCAGCAATAAAAGGAGAAAGATCGGTATGTTTACATGATGTTTACAAGTGGATTGCAAATTCTAACCATGTGACATGAGAAGGATCTCCTAGCAAGTTTGCTGCTGTTACTACATCCACTGGTCTCGACCTTACAGTTCCCGATAATAGCGACTCGCAGCCCCTGCCGAACGAGAGCGCGTCAAATGCGCCAATCCCAGCCCCAAATGAACCCGACAGCTTACCTTCAGTTATCACGGTACAGGCACCACAAAATGTCTTGGAATCCGATGCTGCGGCAGCCTCTAGTGGTCCAGTCGGGGGCGAGATGCAGAAGGCAAATGGTAATGCAGGTGCCAACCATGCAGGCGGAGCGGTTACAATAATCTCGGATGAATTACAAGCGCAAATTGTCTCAGCTCCACCACCTGCAGACAACGATCGCAACATCCCAGACTCAGAATCTCACAACCGTGCACCGCCACAAGATTATGTGGCACCAGATCAATTGGTGATGACGCAGTCACCAGCAGAACCCGATAGAACAGAGCCAACGCCGCCAAAGCAAGTGCCGCCAGCGCAAGTGTCACTAAAACAAAGATCACCCAAGTCGAGGTCACCCGCACAAAGGTCATCGAAGCAAGTGACACCAGAGCAAGGGCTACCGGAGCAAACGATACCGGAACAAACGGCATCAAATGAAGCGATATCAGAACAGCTAATAACAGAAGAAATAGCACTGCAAGAAGTGATAACACGGCAAGCAACACCGCAACAAGACTTGCCGGAACAAGTGGTGCCGGAATCAGGCGTGCCAGAGCAGGCTGATGAGTCCGCACAGCAAGCTACGCAATCTTCCCAAGGAGGGGATACACAGCAGGTTTCTATAGTCGACGCAGGAGAGTCTCAGCCTCAACGCCAGAGGCGACCTCGCGGCAGACCGCCCGCGGCTAGCCGAGCAGGCTCATCTGCTAACGCAAGCACCCAAAAGGCGAAAGCAGGATCGATAGAAGTCTCTCCACCCCCGGTGAACGGTAACCAGAGGCTTCGAAGCAGAGGTACAAGGACCGGTCAGAGCACTTCCAGAGTTGCTGCTGAGAACGGTGCGCTGAATGGTGCACCAGCTCCAGAACAGGAGGAGACTCAGCCTGAGGCGAAGAGCGATAACATTACAAACAAGGAACAGGAAGCAGAAACGACAGTTCCGCAACATCTGGTTCGAAAAAAGAAAGGGCGTGCTGGACGTCCTGCTAAAGTCCGTCCTGCAGAAATTGAACAAGACAAGCCCCAGCCCTCAGATCAAAATGCAGAGCAAGAGACGCAAAAAGACCCTGAGAAGGAACAAGAGCCAGAGTCTCAGCTAGAAGTCGAGAAAGAAGCTCAGATCCCACCTGCAAGTGCAGATGAGTCACAATTACACAGGCAACCCGAATCTGCCTTAAGACCCAAGAAGCGCCGCGGTAGACCATCATTGGCATCGAAACGAAACGAAGGCAATGCAGGTGGGGCTGAGGAGCGGCAGGAGCGGCAAGAAACGCAACCGGAGACCGGGGAGGAAGCTCCTCAGCCCGTGAAAAAGAGGACTAGACAACCACGAGGCGAGACCGTACCAGTGACTGTTCATCGTCTCGTGAATGTCGCTTCACTAGCAGAACTTTCACGGCCCGATTCGCCGGCCGAGGAAGAGGACTCGGCTGACGAACTCGCTGCGCGACGGAAGACCAAACTTCCCAAGAGAGGCGGCGTGAACCCGGCCGACGTGTTAAGCCAGATTTGCCGGGAGACACTAGAAAAGACACTCACGACACTCAAGAACGGAATTGCCAACGAGACGAATCCCGCCCGGCGGGCGGAGTGGACACGCAAGAAGAAAGCCGTCGAGGCATTTGAAACGGAGCTCGAGGGACGACTGTTCGAGCTGAGCGAGATGCTCGATAGCAATTTCGTTCTGAGCGTCCAATTGAGGAAAGCGAAACGGGAAATGATGGACTTGCGTGGTCGCCTGTATCAGGTGCGCAAAGAAAGAGAGGGGGTAGCATTGCGTGTGGATGCCGTCCGCAGAAAGCATGCGGAGGAGGAAGAGGCAAGAATGGTACGCTATTTGATTGTGCCTACATGTGCATATCTGACTGGTTTTTTGACATTCACAGGCCCGCATGTCAATCAGCAATTCCCTGCATAGCCTCGAGCTGGCGGTTGAGCGAGGCCAGAACCGTGCCTCGACTGCTGCAGACGAGGAGGATCCAACCGATGCCTCCCCAACCTCTGGTCTGGAATTTCTGCTCCGCAGCGTGGCGGAGAACGTGAGCTCCGCGGCTCCAGGAGCTCAAGGTGGGCTCTTAGATCAGATGAAAAGCCTCAATGCACAGCTAGAAGCTACAGCACGGAGGCTGGAGAGTTGAGCATGCATTCATATTTTTTTTTTTTTGCTGACGGTTACCATGATTGTTCAATACCCCTGACGAATTCTTTGTATCTGGTGTGCCCAAGTATAGGGACAGACAAATGGACTTTTCATCTGCATTTGATGTATTATCATTAATTAGATATCCCATTTGTGATTGACTCGCTTCTTCTGTCGAAGACTGAATAATAATATGTGATAAGAGATCACTAATCATGCAACTGGTTACTACGGAGTACAGTGTAGTTACCTGAGGCAGGAATACATTTTCAACGGCGAACCGGGCTGAATCAGCGGGGAAGACCGAGCTTTGTCAGCGCCATTTGTCAGCCCCAATCTGCAGTCTGTATCACGTTTTACCGTGTTTTACCAGGGTATGGCCAACCATGAACACTGCAGCCCGGGATGTTGAAGGAATGAAGGAATACATGAGGAATATTATGCATGGCTCTTCTTCACAATCGTAAGAAGCTCTCACTATGGCGCAAAACGGCTTGATCGCATTCAAGTCCGAAGAAACTTCTCGCAAATCTATGATTTGCAAGCAGACCCCGGAGGTAGTGGCTCTGTCATCCTTCCAAGTGCCGTAGAATAAATAAATACAACCCGATGGAGCCCCCCCTCCATTGTCACCAAGCCTACATCAATTGATACTTGCTTTTCAGTAAACAGCACTGAGCGACCACTCAGAATTTGGAGCCAGGAAGACCAAGACAACAAACAGACCATGTCGAAGCTCTTTTCACCGATCAAGGTAGGGCGCATGCAGCTCGCGCACCGCCTCGCCATGGCACCCATGACCCGGTTCCGCGCCGACGATGACCACGTCCCCCTTCCCATGGTCACAGAGTACTACGAGCAGCGCGCCGCCGTCCCGGGCACCCTTCTCATCACCGAAGCGACCTTCATCTCCCCGCGCGCGGGCGGCTACTCCAACGCCCCGGGGATCTGGAACGAGGCGCAGATCGCGCAGTGGCGGCAGGTCACCGACGCGGTGCACGCCAAGGGCTCGTACATCTACGCGCAGATCTGGAGCCTCGGCCGGGTCGCGAACCCAGACATCCTGGAACGGGAAGGACCATTCGACCTCGTGTCCAGCAGCGCGGTGGCGGCCAGCGAGCAGGCGCGCGTGCCGCGCGCCCTGACGGAGGACGAGATCCACGCGATTATCGGCGACTTTGCGCAGGCGGCGCGGAACGCGGTCGCGGCCGGCTTCGACGGCGTCGAGATCCACGGCGCCAACGGATACCTGGTTGACCAATTCATCCAGGACACGGTGAACCGGCGCACGGACGGCTGGGGCGGCGGCGTGGAGCAGCGCGCGCGGTTTGCGCTGGAGGTCGTCCGCGCGGTCGTCGATGCCATCGGTGCGGATCGCACGGGGATCCGGTTCAGTCCCTGGAGTACGTTCCAGGGCATGCGGATGGCGGACCCGGTGCCGCAGTTCAGCTATCTGGCGCGGAAGACGGCGGAGCTCGGGCTTGCGTATGTGCATCTGGTCGAGTCGCAGGTCACGGGCGGTGCGGATGGCGAGTCGACGGATCAGCTGGATTTCTTTTTGAAGGCGTATGGTGGTGCCGGTCCGGTCGTCATTGCTGGAGGTTATCAGGCTGATTCGGCACGGAAGGCGGTCGATGCCCGGTATCAGGACCACGAGGTGGTGATTGGAGTTGGACGGCCTTGGACGTCTAACCCGGACCTGCCGTTCAGGTTTAAAGCAGGAATTTCCCTGCGGCCGTACGAGAGAGAGGTGTTCTATGCGCCCAAGGACCCGAGGGGGTATATCGATTATGGCTTTAGCGAGGAGTTCAAGGCTACCCAGGTGGCTGCTTGATCGTGACGGTTCACTGTTTCCTTATCTTCCCTATTTGTGATACCGAGTGCTTGTTTTTTTAATTTTATGTTTGATGTTTGTGTTTTGCATGGCATGGATGCATATAGACCGATGCATTGACCCTGTTTGGAGTTCTCTTTCATATTGCCATCAGTTTCAATAATACATATAGAAATTAGCATATTTGGCCAATTAAGAGTGCTCAGACTTCACATCAATCATAGAGGGCCAGTCCCTTCAAAAGGATTCACGGCATGTATCTGCTCCCCAGAGGCATCCCTTGTCTCAGTCTTTCCAGCTCTGAGGGATCTTTTCTTCCGGATTCTGACTATTCCGGGAGAAAGGACTGACAACGCTGACTAGCTATCGTGATTGTTTCCCTCGGAACCGAAATCGCTTGATGGAAGTTAGACAGTAGCAAGGCATCTAAATGACGCTTTGCTGATACGAAATGGCAATAGTACAGCACCTACTTAGCAATAGCTCTCACGATTACACCGACATCTACAGAAAAAGAAGGTGCTCGTCGCCGCCAGCGATCAACGAGTGATCGAGTACGCAAAGATTGTCATCTCACATAGCTATAGCTCGGGAGAGTAACTCGTAGTAATGTATCTATCTTATGATCTGTCCCTTAGAAACTAGAGCTGAGGAGGTGGGCAAGTGGAGCTATAATCAACGCATCTAGTAGTCAGTGCTTTGTTTGTTTCGTTGCAGTAGTCTAGGGGACCCGAGTCTTTGATAAGTGCTAGTTCTGCTACGCTCAGTTGAAAATTATGCAGAGTCTCTGTCTAGCATACAGAAAAGAGAATAACATCGATTCCAATAGTTCCGGCAGCCGTCCAATCTAAGCCGTCGGTGTGCATATGGCTGCTGAAATCTCAACTGCAAGATGTGCAATCTGAGCAACTGCATCAAAAGCATGGTTATGGATCATCTCCAGACTCCGGAGTCCTTTGCTTTTATGGAGATCATTGTAGCGTAATCTGTTGAGCGTCGAGAATGGCGCCCAATGGCCCAACCGATTAACTGGTAGACAGCATCATCATATTAATTGTTGCCATTTCCTGGAGTGAGGGCTGTGCTGATCCGCGTGCTCCGTGTGTTGATAGTAGATACGGGGCGCAGCTCTGCAGTCCACACTCTGCAGCCTGGCTATGTGCACCGGGTTGCGTGGCAAGAAGATGTGCCGTCTATTGCTGACTCCGTAGCAATGAATGATCCATTAGTAGTGGAGCAAGGGCTGGTCATGCTCACGCTCAGTCCTAAGTCCCAAGTCCCAGGAGCAACTGAGAGTCGGCCAGCTTCCGCTTCTTCCAGAGGGCGTTGTGTTAGTTGCCCCCCATCCCCTCTCCCCAATGTTCCACTCCGCCTCTTTCCATAATCAGGAAATGTTGGGTGACGGGTCTTGGGACTGGAGGCCTGGTACAGCAACTTTCGAATCAGATCAACCACCGTATCCCCCGGTTTTTGGAAAACACACGGTGGGTGTATCGTCCCCAGAAAGCACGCTGCTCCGCATGGATGTAGGATCGCCTTTGACTTTGTCTGCCAATGAGGCCAATCAACCATAAAGTCGAGTTGACCAGAAGTGTATCGAGCAAGGGTCTAGAGTGGAACCCCGAGCGCAAATTCCTGGGTAGGGTAAACTTTGAGAGGCTGAGCCATGCAGACTAAGCAGTTCGTGGCTGGCGATTCGCTTTCAGTGCTTGGTGCTTCTAACTTCAGTAGCTTCCGCTCCGCCGAGCCGAAGCGTAACCGAGTCTCAGCCGAGATTGTTGGTTAATCTGGATGACTTGGCGGACAGAAAGAGAGATGTACTCCGTGGATAGCTGGATAGCGGATTATTGAAATTGGCATTCGCTGAATCTGATTGCTCAAACTCAATAGTACTTCCCCAGGATCCCGATACCCAATCCCCAGACCCCGGTTGTATACGGGGTTATCCTCGATCCTTGGCATCTGGAGAATGGCATGACTTCTATCCAGTGATATCGATGCTCATGCTGTCTGTGACACCTAGACAGTTAAACTTCACGTGGTTTACTTGTTAGTTTCAAAATGACGGCCACCAAGCGAGAAAAACGTGGCAGTCTCGTGGTCTGGTGCCGGGGCACGGGCTGATGGAACGTTCATTTTTCATGGACTATCCCGTATCTCAAGATAATGTCAACAAGGGCAATCCTTTCGAACTTTGTGTCCTGTGGAAATCTTCAACCCCAAGCGCGGCCAAGGCCAAGGCTATGACCGTATGACGAGGATAATGACATTTTGAGTTGGATATGGCATTCGATAGTGTCATCTCGAAACTGGCTGTCGATCCTCTCATAGTCAACCAGCACACGTGGTAAGCGAGGATCATCAAGAGACAAGGGAGCTTGTTGTTTGGTTGCTCTGAGGTATCTTGTTGATCAATAAGACAGGCGCAACTATAGTAGTTTTCAGTAGAGGATGCTCGACCCTCCAAGGTCCCAGTCCATAATCCGATCTCACCATGAGGACTCTCCGAATGAGTAATCAGCATCAGCATCATCCCCAACCTCCCCAGGATTGATGGAATCAGGGACACGATCTTCCCATCTTGGATAAGCGGACTAGTCAACAGTGACTTGTATCGATATGGAGGGAGTGGCCTCGGATTATTGGATCGAACACCAGTCAGGATGGGGGATATGAGCCTGGGCAGTACGCCAAAGCCGCGCCAAGGAAGACTGTTGTCGTAAGTCGAGTGGGAATGAGAATCAGGCAAGAGAAACTAATTAGTAGAAAGATATCAAGTGTCAACAGCCAAAGTTAGAACAGATCTGTTTCAATTTCGTATCGCTGACAGACACACAGACACAGAGAGTAAGCTCACCCATTGATTAGAAATGGACGATAGAATAGAGCAAGGACAAACAGGCTAAATACCCCCGACGATAATGATCTAAGGTAGTTTAATAAATCTCACGCAGAGCACACGTTGCAGACGTCTTTACTCCCTATTTGATAATTGTCCAGTCCATACATTATTATTCATGGAAGAATCGAATTAACTATCTTTTCGGATTGAATTTTACCAAGAATGTCTCCTGAGCTTAGCAGTTAGCACACAATCCTCCTTCTCAATTTCCACCAACACCTTACACCACATCCGCCTAGTCATGCAGCTTAAACTTTAGTGTCGAAATCATTCCCTTTGCTTGCAGTCGCTAGTTACTCGCTCCTCGCTAGTTGAGTAACTAAATACAGTAGGTACTACGGAGTAGCTAGCTAGTATCTAGCTAGTGGCTACAGCCACGGCTGAACACAGTGAACACTGAACAGCGATTGGCATTGGCACTTGGCAGCGCGAACATGGTTCTACTTTAGTCTGTTAGATACATACAGGGGAGTCGGGAAAAACCAGCTTGTAAGTTGCAAGTTGCAAGTTGCAACTCTCTAATAATAATCCTAGTCCATAAGCAAAGAGCTATAGATAGTCTGATGTCCTTCCATACAGTTAGGCGAGACAGCTGCGGGGGGACACGAAGGGACTAATAAGACCAGAAGATGCAGGGGATATCTATATCATGTAATTGGACGTAGGTAGGTGCCAGGTGGTGCTGAACCCTGGCCAGAGCGGTTCTTAGCTCTATTCCTGTTTCATTAAATTTGATGGTTGGAACAGTCTGGACTTGACCACTGAATACTGATCGAGTCAAGAATTTCCCTGGCTGTCACTGTCAGTTGTCATTGTCACCATCAGTACTTGTGTTAAAACCAGGAGTTAGGAGTTCAAGGGATGATCCTTCAAATAATGATAAGCCATTATATGGGTCTGATCTTCTAAGCTTGTTCATCCTCAAGCAGTGCAGTGGAGAGAATGCATCATTCTGGAGTACATGTACAGCATGGTGAATCATGTACCAGCACTGTTGATGGCATTCTTACAGTCTACTTCAGAGTCTATGCAATTGATATTCCAAAAACAAAAAAAAAAATCTTGCAACAGTTTCAAGTCTCATCTTCACATTCTTCAAGGGTATTCACTATTCAGCTACACGGCTGATGGCTGTCCGAAACTTACCTAGAATGGCAACTCGGGCGGGGAGACGGCAGCATTGCAGCAGTAGTAAATAATATCAATGTACGCAACGAGCATCCTCCGTAGGAGAGACAGAAATGGGATTGTGTTACGAGTTTGATATTTCCAATGAATTTGTCCTACAGTCAGCTCATTTTCCAGGCTAGTCATACTGTCCTTCTGGTGCGTGTTGTTTGCTAAGGTAACTAGTCTATATACCCCTATCCCAGGTCAAGCAAGCATCCTGGCCAAAGCCGCGGCCATTATTGGTGTAATAATACGCCATGGGGAGAGCTCAACAGTTCCCAGTCCATAGTAGGGGCCGTCCAGGGATGAAAATCCCCCTAAGGGAGGATCGACTCGCACTATTCGTACTCCGTGCTGAAACTGAAAGTTAGAGAATGCCTCTAAATGGAAGAACTATGTCATGTGTCTTTGATTCTGATCATACAATGGTTGGAATGACCCGGTCGATCATCAAAGAAGTATCCAGCGACAATGACATTCCAATGCCACGAGGGTGACACACTTCTTCTGCTAAAACAATACAGATAGACGTCTAATCTACCTGTAGTCTCTCTTCACCTAACCCCCATCCGAAGATGACAAAAAAAAAAAAAAAGAGCTGGAGGGTGCTTGGCAAGCCTGGTGTTATGAATCTGGCCATTCAAGGCTTGTCGGTTGCTATTATTACTCTACTCCATACTCCGTGCCTAACAGCATGTAACCACCCCGTGCTGCTGGAAGTGCGGCCCCCTCCGTCCTCCGTCTCCGTCAAGAAGCTTTTCCCAGGCCTCGGGAAACAAGAATGTGAGAAGCTGTCACAGCCGGTCCCCCGAACAACCGCGTAGTAGGACGAAAGGCTGGGTCTGACAAAGGTGACCATAGTACTCTGGACGATTTAGGATTTAGGTTGGCACAGACAGTATCTAGGCACTAGAACTAATGATCCTATCTCATTGGCCGTCTAGTCATCAGCTCCGGACAAAGGAGTGAAAGGACATGGTGCAGCAGTAGTCTTGGAAGATGGAGTCTGGATCCGCAGAATTGTTGCCTGAACGGGTTGATTTGCATCACGATGCTTCCCATTATTAACCCGCGGCGGAGAGAGTTCGACTCCGTACTCGGTCCTCCCTTCCAATGTGTTTCAGCCAGTCAAGTTGATGAGACAGTCCGGTTGAGGAGACTAGTAAGTGGAAATGAGATTAAGTATTCGAGATGAGTTCCTAGAGAAACTAGCCCGCAAAAGAACGAGGTGACGGAAGTCGGAACCCCCGGCCCATGATTACTAGCCGTCTGTGCTGCGAGGAGGAATGAGAACGGGGACAATAATGACAGCCCACGCTCACAGGTAAAGGAGAAATCTGTACTCCGTACACGGAGTAACATTTCATATGATAGGTATTCTAGGAAGTACTGTTTGTACCTTTGTATAAGACGATCATTCCCCAAGGAGAATTTCCCCAGACATTTCTCCAGTAACCAAGACCAAAGGACAAGACGCCATGCTAAGTCTAATTGTCTAAGACTGTTCCCCGGTCTTGGACTGGCAATCTGGCAGCTGTCCAATAATTACCTCGTAAAGGATTCCAAAGTGAATGGAATTCTTGTTAATTACTATTGGACTCCAGTCTGCCAATCAGCACCTACGATCCATTGGACGAAGAACAAGTTCCTTTCATCCATGATCTTATCACGCTGGACCTGGAGGCTTTTCCGTCTCTCCATCTGTTCTAGTCTTCTAGGTTGCCTGCTTTCTTGCTTCTTACTACTACGTAATAATAGTCTAAACTGTGGTCTTTATTATTAATGTGATTGTTACTGAATATACTGATATTGTCATCCTATGATTATTGAGTTTGTCTAAAGCTACGCCTCTGCGCCTCCAAGTCGCTTGGCTATCCTCCTCCCCGCTTTCTTCAATCCCTCGGATTCCTTCCATGCTTCAACCAAACACATCCCAAAGCTGGTCGCAAATAGGAATAATGGAAATTCAAAAAGATAGAAAAATGAAATAAAATAAAATCCACAAGAAAAAAAAGTTCATAAATCCCGCCGGCACAAAATAGCCATAGTACGTACCTTCATAACTTCTACCAAAATTCATCCCCCTTATGGGTAATTGGGTATAGGACGGAAATTCGCCATTGACTGCACATCACGAGATCCTTCCCTCCCCAAATCTCCCAATCTTCAACAGCCGATTTTCCTAACCGTCATGACTTTACTCGTTCAGTCGTAAAACGGTAAACTCCCATGATGAATCAAGAGCCCTGCAGCCAATCCATCGTGCCACGGATGCCCAGTATTCCCCCGGACTTCCCCTTCCTCCCCTTCCTCCCCTTCCTCCCCTTTCTCCCTTCCCCCCGATATCCGCATTCCTCTGGATGTAGAAAATTACTTAAATATTTCGTACCCCTACCTCAAGACATCATTGTCAGTTGTCAGTTGTCAGTGTCACTTCCTCGCTCAGCCTAAAACCAACACCAAACTAGAGCTCAACTAACTAAAGCCACGCCCACACTACTAGTCTACTACACTTAGACCCTCTCACCAACTAACTAACGGCCTTCTCTCCCGATTCAGGTAAGTCGACTTTTGCTTCCAAACTGCATGGATCATCTCATTGTTAGTCGGTTTTGATTCTACCCTCCTCTGCACAAGTTGTGGTCCGTGTCAATCGTTGTTCGTCAATGGTGAATGGTCTTTTTTTTTCTCTGGGTTTTTGGGCCTGGCCTGACGCATGCTTTTTCTTGTCACCGGAAAATTCCAGACTATTTTTTGACTTTTGACTTTTTTTTATTATTATTTTTTAACCCCAGCCAAAAAAAAAAAAAAAAAAAGCCCTTTTGCTGGGGTTCAAAAAAACAATAATAATAGATCAACATATCTCTCCCTCTTGTCGCCCCCTCTCCTCTCCTCGACTTACTTCCTCTTCTTCTTCTTCTTTCCTCTTCATCCCCTTTGGATCCTTTTCAGTCTTCGTGGTTGACAGCTGTGCTTCCCTTCTCCTTCCTGTCCAGCAGCGCTGTGTACTTACCTTGTTTCTCAAACCCCTTGGATCCCGACCTCATTCCTCGCCCCCTCCAGCAAAGCTTCTTTGTCTTTCTGACTCAAGAAAAAAAAAGATATCTTGAATAGTCACCATGTCTACCGAACATAACCCTGCCATTGAGAAGGACATCAGTCCTAGCCCTGGCAATGGCGTCAACGGCACCTACGACAACACCATCGCGTCGCAGATGACCCGCGAGGAGGAAAATGTCGCCAGGGCCGCTGCTCGCTTCGGCTATGGCCCTCTGTCCCACGTCAACACCAAGGAGTACAACCTCCCTCCCTTCGGAGGTGAGTTCCAGCCTGGTTTGTACAAGTCGGTCGAAAAGCGCAAGTTCGCCAATCCTGCTCCCTTGGGTCTGTGCGCTTTCGCCCTCACCACCTTCGTGCTGAGCTGCATCAACATGGGTGCGCGCGATATCACCGCGCCCAACATTGTCGTTGCGCTGGCTTTTGGTTATGGTGGTCTTGTTCAGCTGCTTGCCGGCATGTGGTAAGTTTCATTCTAAGTCTTTGTGATAGCATACCGTTCCAATGCGCCGGTTCCTGACCAATCCCAGGGAAATGGCTGTCGGTAACACTTTCGGTGCCACTGCTCTGTCCTCCTATGGTGGTTTCTGGCTCTCCTTCGCTATTGTCCTGACTCCCGGCGGTTTCAACATTGAGGGTCTCCTGATCCAGGCCGACGGTAACGGGGCTAGCATGTTCGCGAACTCCTTCGGTCTGTTCCTCATGGTAAGTGTTGCGCCTTGAAAAAGTCCGTCCGTCCATGTATCCCAGGCTGACTCCTCTCCCAGGGCTGGTTCATCTTCACCACTATCTTGCTGTTCTGCACCCTGCGATCCACCGTAGCTTTCTTCCTGCTCTTCTTCTTCCTCGACCTCGCCTTCCTGTTGCTCGGTATCGGATACCTCCTCCACGATGCCAAGGGCAAGCCCAGCACCCCCATCATCAAGGCTGGTGGTTTCTTCGGCTTGATGGCCGCCTTCACTGCGTGGTACAACGCCCTGGCTGGTATTGCCGACAGCAGCAACAGCTTCTTCGTCATCCCCGTCGCCCACTTCCCCTGGTCCCCAACCGGACAGGCCCGTCGTGGCAAGACCGAGCGCGAGACCGTCTAAACCGGCGACCTTGGTCTTTACGACATGCTGTGTAAAGGGATGTGCCGCGCGGTATATTTCTCGTTTTCATGCTTCAGATACCCAATCCTGTAGGATCATAGCTGTTGGTTAGTCGTCTTGTCTGATCAGTCGTATCAACCACAGCAGGTATAGATGATCTTGGATATTTTAATCTTTTTTTGGTGGAGGGATTTCCCTCTTCTCCTTCATGTTTTGTCGGTATAAATAATGCGCCCCGGATTTGGACGATGTGTGCCGTCGGTTATAAGGGCGGGTCAGTTGTATTTAGTGACTGGTATCATGAACGTTGATGAGAATGTCTATGTCCTATAGTAGGTTAGTCAGTCATGGTCATAAGGTTGTATCGAGGTATTGATAAGCCGACCTTGCATGAGTTCCTCAGGCATACCCTAAGTCGATCATCATTCATTACTAGGAGTATACCTTTTGACTCCTCTGGCGGCTTTTGATCAAACAACCATTGCTCAAGTCATGCTTCTTCCCTAAAACTAAACAAGTGAGTATCATATCGGTCAGTATATCTATTGGTTAGTTCCAGTCAGTCAAATCAAATCAAGACTCTCAGCGCAAGCAGTGCACTGGACTGCACTACCCGGAAACAAATGATATACAACCACCACATCAAAAAGAGACAAGACACAAGATGAACGGAAGAACGAGGGACGAACCCCCATCTTAATATGTCGTTTCTTTTTTTTTTTTTTTTTTTTTTCTTCTTCTTTCCGAGTCAGGGGTCGCAGTGGGTCATCGTCTGTCGGAACGTGGCTGGTTGGGAGGAAGGATTCTCCCGATAATCAGAAGCAAGAAGCAATCCCTATTGTATATACGGAGTATATATGAACTCGGTGATTTCTCGGGTGTTGCGTCATCTGAGTCTGATGATGGGAAGATTTCTCTCCCAACCCAACATCAACATCGTCATCACCAGGACTTCGCCATTTTGAGTAGAGACAAACAAATTCGAAAAAGAACAGTTCTAGTAGTCTTCACCTTTTCTTTTTCCATATCTGTTCTGTACTGTCTATCTCTTTTTCAAAAGAGTTTTTTTTTTTTCAAGAAACTGAGGACGAAAGACAAAAAAAAAAAAAACACAATAACGGCAAGTGTAGAATGGAAGTAAATCCTTCGGCGCAAACTCGGTTTTCGGCGGCCCGTGCCTCGGGCGCTCCGAGCGAACGCCGTGCAGGAAAAATGATGTGATGCTGGTCATGGCATGCTGACCACTTTGATTATTCTTACCCGTCCAATCCCAGTCCCAGCCCCACGATAGGGGGAGATGATCATGAAGGACATGCATGGGGGATTGTAGATACAGTTGTACATGCTATTCCTGTGGCTTCCTTGTGCAGCGTGGGGGGAGTGATGCCTGATATCTCGGTGGTTTCGGTGTGATATCAAGTCTTGGGTACTCTTGTAGAGATGGTTTTTTTTTTTTTTTTGTCTCGCTGTCTTGTTGCCGGATGGTCCCTGCTACGCCTTATCCATATTCATGCAGGTATGGTGTGGTTTGTGCTGGGTTCTGATTCTTCATCATCTGGGATGCCCAGGTCAAGGGGGTCCAGTCCACTTGTTTCCTATGGTTCTGAGGGTGAGATTTTCCATGTTTGTGCTCACTGCTCCAACGCTATGGACGTAGAGACGGGCACAAGGAGGATAAGTGCTACTCATAACACAGAGGCAGTCGTCATTGGTATACCATGTCTCATTATTGTATCATACATTAAAGGGTCGGTTGTATATTAACACAGGTTCAACCTACTAGTATCGGCATCGATATGGAGCTCGTCCCATAACTCCCGCAGTGGAGTCAGGTAGCAGCGGTCCACGTAAAAGTACCCCAGCAGCAGCTCTCGCACTTCCTGCCAGGAACGGCATCCCTGGCTCCGCAAGGTTGTCGCCAGCTCGGTCATGAAAAACGTGTGCTCACGGGACAAAAGCCGTGAGCTGCACGCCCCGATAAAGAGAAGCCAAATCAGTAGCTCCCGGCACAAGTTGAAGTACCCAGCTGGGATCGTCGTCTCCAGCGCCACCCGCAGTCCGACAATGGGTTTCGAGAAGACCGGTCCCATTTGCGGATAAAACTCCCAGATCGTCGTGTTGTGGAACAGCAGGCACGCCAGTCGCACGCAGCCTTCCAGTGTCGCGTCTCCCTTGGCTTCACCGGTCGCCGTGTACCGGTCCGTGTGGAGGGCGTACTCGACGTACAGCACCTCGGTGTTGAAGTAATCCTCCGTCTCGTCGTCAAATCTTTGCGTATTCAGGTCACCCTTTATCCACTCCGCATACAAAACAAGCTCGGTCAGGTCGTATATCGTTTTGGACATGGCATCACCAAAGACACCGGGTATCTCTATCAATGGAATCAAACGCGATGCGGTGCGCGCATGGTCTTTACTGGGTGGCATAATCGAGAGTCCAGAAGGGCGCGCATAGCGAACAAAGGGGAAAATCGGTTTGGTAAAGGCCATGCAAGCCACTCGAATGTCGGTCCTGTTCCATGTTAACACCCTCGTTCGATGCTTCGCCATAGAAGCTCAGTCACTGACCATGATATTTGGAATCGGACATCCGGAGGCACATCTGCGAAACTATTCCTCATAGCAACCATCTGCCTCAAGCCTGCCAGGTGGATCTTTAAATAATCGGGGTTTCCAGACGCAATCTATTCAGTCAGCCAAGTTCGGGCCTGAGTTTGTGCACACCAGACATACCTCGATTGTCAGCAAGATGGATACAGCAGCGATAAGCTCGTCACTAGACGCCTTGAGGGGATCCGATAGCCCCTCGTTAACGAGGCGGATGGTCTCCCCTCGATGATGAAAGGTATCCAGTATCAATGGACTCGTCCGCGCTTTGTTGGGGTCAACTAGCGGGAATTCGCCGGACTGCAAAGCTGCACTGGATGCGGCGACGCATATACACGCATGTAAAGATGCAGGATCGTGTTGAACCAATGATGCCCAATGAGCCTGTAACCTCGGTCCGTATCGGCGCTGCAGTGGGTATGCCAACCTGGTCAATTCGCATAGGACTAGACAGGATTAGAGAAACCACCTTTGTTCCAAGCGAGGGGGTGACTTACAGTGCTGCAAATGCCGGTACATACGATCGGAAAGCGGTGTATGTAGTGTATTAAAGGGATCCTTCCCTCGTCCCACCACATCCCATGAGCCACTAGAGGACTCTAAAGAACCGTTTGACTGAGGCTGTGACGACGTACCACAATCGTAGGTCTCCACACCGCCAACGGGCGCATTGACTGAGGAATAAGCGGAACCTTCTGTGACGGGACCATCAAACTGTTGCTCTTCCTCTTTGATCTGGGATTGGTCTGGGTCATAGTCTTGATGCTGCTGCTGGTGTTGCGGCTGCTGTACAGAGGGAACCGACGGCGGAGAAGTCGATGGTTCATGTTTGAATGTCGAAGACGCAGCGTCTGCAAGCGAGGGCTCAGAAGCAGCCGGCACTGTTGACGATCCCGGTGCTGCGCTGGAGGATTCGGAAGGCGCGGTCTCGACAGGCTGAAACGCAAGATGCTTCCAGGTCTTGCTCTTATAGCGCTTGGTGTTCTCCAACCTTTTCTTGCGATTGTGCTCGGACATCACGTGCGAACGGATGCGCTTCAGCGTCTCCTCGCGCGTCCCTTCCGACACCGATTGCGGGTCCGTATGGACCCAGAAGAGCGTTGACCGACCATTAGACGCATTGTTGCCCTTGCGAGATTTGCGAAGCTTCGATGAGGTACTCTTGCCTACATCGGGGCGAGGAGGAGGTTCCACGACAGCAGGCCGCACGGCAGCCTCGTCGTGGACAGGCGATGAGGAGGAGGAGGAGGGAGCGGTGGCAGAAGCGGTCGGGATAGCTGGGACGAGGTGTTGGTGTGGATGTTGATGTTGTTGAAATTGTTGATAGGGATGATGTTGAGGTGGAGCTTGAAGTTGATGATGATGAGGATGTTGTTGTTGCTGCTGGTGATGAGTATAATTATTGAAGATTGCAGGAGAGCTGGAATCCCAAGCAGCTGGTTTACCAAGCATTGGCAGGACCTGCTCGTGGCCACCGCTGGCAGAAGAGCAAGCGGTTGGCTGGAGGTGGGGATTCTTGGCATCCATCGGAATTCAATCAGCAATCACAGATACTGCTGACGATGATCTTCATAGGTATGAATTATTCATTTTCGTTCCAAGAGTCGGCCAGAGGGGGGACAAGAACCCGGGAGGGTGGATGTATCGGATGGGGATTGGAATTGGATAGAGAGTCAGAAATGAGATGAAACTGAACAGGGTATGACAGGCCAAGGAAATGCTGAATGGTCAGCACATTGCCCCTATCAGGAAAAGCCCATCTTAATCTGTCCGGGGGTGAGTGTGTGATGGGTGTGTGGTTTGTCGTAATTTGCTGAGGATGAAGATGAGGAAAGATAGTTGCAGATAGGGCTATAGGTTATTTATCGTCAGGTAGGTCGAGTTCGGGAGGATATTATTGATTATTAGAAGAAGCAGAAGAGGGGGATGGCAAGAGGAAGAGAAAGAGAGAGAGAGAGAGAGAGAATAATAGTGGGAAATTGCGATAGTAAGCAAAGCAGAGGAGAGCAAAAGTTAAGTCAAGCAAAGTTCATTTAAACAAAAGCACAGGCTTCTGTCACCTGTGTCTTTTTTTTTTTTTTTTTTTTTTCTTATTATCTTTTTTTTCCCTATTCTTCCTTCTACACTACACTTTTTTTTTTATGGAATGTAATCTGTATTCGTTATCTTCTGGATCTATTCTTCCTCTGTTCTCCCTTGTTTCAGATGCACGGATACGAATTGTTGATGTTGGTAGAGAACCTGAAGCTGCCTGCTGCAACAATAGCAACACCACCACTAAATTATCCACCACTATCTATCTACTCCTCCTAACTCACAAGTGGTTTAATGAGTTCATTCACCCAATTTAAAACTCTGGACTGGTCAAAAACCACTAAAGCAAAAAGACCCTACTCTGTACAAATTCCATCACAAAACAAGCAGCCAGATCTCGGATGCTGTTGATGCCGGGCACCGAGTGGAGTCCAGAACCAGTATTGAACTGTATGGACTATGGACTACGGACTCTGGATGTCGGCTTGAAGATAACAAAGTATGAAGGGTCTCTGGTCATATTCTGCAGGAGGATTGCAGACACACAAACATCTGATATCCTCGTACTACAAGGATCGACTGTTCGACCCTACAGAGTAGCTGTTTTGAGGGAAGAAGCATTGAACCCATCGACACGGACACTGGAACTTGTCGTTCTTCAGGTCAATGACAATGAGTGTCAAGTCTGAATCCGACTCCACAGCCCACATGTTCAGAGCTTTCGATCGGACAAATCCTAGACTCACGCTGGGAGGTTATCTTCCATGTGTCTCCGACCCTCCTTGCATACTCGAAGTATTCGAAGTCTTATAGAAGGGGATCGATCTTCTAACATGACTCTGACCACAAGTCCTCATTGCTGCTACTCTGGTAAAATCATGAAGAGTTAACTATCTATTCCAGGTTACTTCCATAATCAATTTCATGGAAGTTTATTTTCGAACGGGTACAACACGACCTACCTATCCATACTCCATACGGATAAGACTGCAAGAATACCTTACAGAACCCAACCTAGAACACTTACAGATACAGAGAACGGATAACTGGGTATCCTGAACTCCGAAGTACCGTCCAGGAATCATATTCCCGTGCGGATATATTTTCCACCTAAGCACTTGGCAGTCGGCAGTCTAGTGGTACAGTCCGCAGGCCCTGCGAAATCAAAGAGACCTCTTCGCAGTCCTTGGAGCCTCGAACTCGTTTGTTCCCGCATCCGCGCTCTCTCCCTGTAACTACTTATCTACCTATCTACCTACAGTACGCACGGCGTACTCCGTACCCAACTTTTTCACCCACATTCCTCACATCCATCCATCCCAGTCGCAATTAATTGCCTTGTATTGCTTTTGGATACGAGATGCAGCGCTGCATAAGTGCCAATATCCCAAATCTGCGGCTGTGGCTGTGGTAGAGATCGTCGATCGCATTCTTCTAATCGATGTTGACTCGACCGTGCTGACCGCAAGATGCAGGATGGGACGCGGGCGACATCGGCTCTTCCAATCATGAAGGTCGGTATTATTGTTCTGCACGCACTACATAATTATTATGCATATCCTTCTACTCTGTAGCTCCGCAGATGCATGCAACAACTCGATACGAGATACGGAGTAGATACATGATATGCCCTTTGTAGTGGATAGTAGATCGTAGTACGGAGTAGGTTTCTAGAGACCATATCCCCCCCGCCAGTTGAAATTGTTGTAGAAGAATCAATTAGACTACTAGCTCAGAGTGAAGGGTTAGCGGTATCAGTGTATTCCAGCAGCTGGGAATTGACAACGCAACTAGGTGCACTATATAATATTGGATACTGTGTGCGTGCAACATGCAGAACCCCTCAAGTGCACTCCAGTACTCCGTACATACTCCGTATATATATATATCTTGGACGACCTTGACTCCACCTATTCCCCAAAATTCTTTTCTCAACCCACACAAAGTAATAAACCATTTATTGTATACCATCTTTAATATTACCTGCTAATGCGCTACTTTATCTTCAACGAGAAAATGCGCCTGCGCTGCAAGCTCGCTCAATGCATGAAACACCAGAAGCCGTCTGATGCAGGGAACAGGTGATGAGAACAACCGGGGGACAGGTCTTAAAAATGACAATGAATGAAAAAAAAAAAAAAAAAAAGTAAATAAAAATAAAAAGAAAACCCCCCAAAGAAAACGATCGCTATTACAGGGTTAGCCCTTGGCTAGCCATCTAGACTGGACCTCAAGAGCTGTGTGCATATAGGCCCTACGCCATTCCCGGCCGCGGGAACACTGGTACCGTTTCCAACGCTTCATACCCGCCCATTGTCCCCTGCTGCCCGCTGACATGCCATCCCTGGCCAGTCTGTTGGTTGACAAAGGCGCTCTGCCGGAAAGGATTGGTGCTTCCTGTCGGATTCGGCCGCAAAGGCGCGGCCGCTGGTGGCTGCAACCCTTGGGCTTGTTGGGGAGGGACGGAAGCGCTTCGAGCAAAAGGGTTGGTCCCTGTTCGTTGAGGTTGAAGCAGTTGTGGCTGCCCCAGGGAAGCCGCTTCAGCAGGGCCAGCATTAAGTTGTGGATTCACGGTCGAGAGGCGTCTGGCGAATGGATTCGTGTTCTGTCGGTTTATTGGCGCAGCTGGCAGCGCCGTTCCTGTTGGCGTGCTCATCAACATTGACTGCCTGAAAGGATTCGTCGTTTGCTGTTGCTGCTGCTGCGGCTGTGGAACACCCAGCATAGGTTGTTGCTGTGGTGGGAATGATGCAACATCGCTTTGCGGAATGGGGCTGAGATGGTTTTGGAACCCGTATGTCTGTGGCTGCGCAGAGTAGCCGCCAAAACCGGCACCGGTTGGGGTAGCTTGGATAGGCTGTGGAATTTGAGCTTGACCAAACTGATTGTTGTCTTGCTGAGGAAATTGTCCCCCAAAGGCCGTCTGCTGAGAAAATAGGGCGCCTTGGGGCAGTTGTTGAAATCCATTCTGCTGGGTGTAGAACCCCGTCTGTTGAGGCTGAAAGCCCGTCGGCTGAAATGGCATACCTTGCGGATGCTGTGTCGGAACAGGCTGTTGAAATGCGCTCTGTTGGGTCATCGGCTGCGGGTTGGGTTCGATCGAGTCAAAGAAATCGATTAGGTCTGCAGGATTCGCCTTCTTCTGAGGTTTGGGTTCTGTTTGGGGTCGGCTTGGGGTAGAACTTGAATGACTGGGAATTTGGTTGCCCCCGGTGATATTGCTTGTCAGCGCCGTGTTCGGACCCCCACTCTTCACACCTTTTCGAGCAAGATATTCCCTACGACGGAGGTTAAAATCGGGATCATTGAGATCGTCTTCCAGAAGGCGCGTCAAGTCGGTCGAAGCATGTTTGAGTTTGGGGATTTCCAGTCGAGTCGCTGATTGAAAGTGCCGAGCAACGCCCAGAAATTTAACTACCTCCTCTGTTTGTGTGGTGAATGTCTTGTAAATCTCGAGAGCTCGCTCGCTGTCCGGCCGCGACATCTCAAAATAATGTTCTGGCGCGCATCACATTAGTCACGTTCATGAAATCTCCAGGAAAGTCACGTACCCAGAACATTGATTGTGCCCTCGTTCATAACCGAGTATAGAGTCAGTAGGTCCAAGGTAAGCAATCGGAATGCTGTGAGCGTGATCTCATTTTCGACTTCATCTGTCAAGAGCTGGGGATGGACCGTCAGTCCCAAATTGCGACAGCCGCCACAGCAAGAGGATAACGCACATCGCAACGTAACAGAGCCCGAATCTGATTCTGAACAATTTCAGTTTCCCTCAGGAGGCCCCTTTCGACCGTCAACCGTTTCATCCGCCCCTGTCCGCTGCGAACATAGTCTGTCTTCGTGGAATCAAACGCTTTTGCGCGCGCCAGGAGGTAGTCGGCATATCGTCGGATATTATGTCCCTGTGTTTGTACTACAGCAATAAGCCATCAGCATTGTGGGCACATGTTTCGCAAACACCCAGTCCGGCCTCTGGAGCCCTGCATACTCACCCTCTGAGTATCCGCTGATTGCTAACTTGTTCGGGTTCTCTGCCACGAACTGTAATGTGGCGTCCAATTGCCCCTCCCGTATCATAAGGTGAACAACGATTAGCGACTTGAAAACAACCGTCCACGTCGATTCGCGAACTCGAATTTGTAATGTTCGGAATATCTCTGCGACTCCAGCCTCGCCTGTATGCGTTGCCACAAGAATATGCTCGATATATTTCGATTTAGGGGCCGCCAGCTGGTCGCGTGCAGAGAGTTATCAGCGATCCATCAAATTGACGCCAGCGGTAAGGGAGTTGAGGCATTCAAAGAACCGACTGACCTTCACCTTGGTAGCCCCCTTCACTGACTTCTCAAAGTTGTGAGACATTGTCAGAATGGTCCTGATGCCCAATTGGGGCAGTGATAATAATCAGAAGACCAGCGGGGTGAACTCTGTAACTGTGATTTATGAAGAAAAGACCGTGCCTGCGGAGTAAAGATGATACACGTCTATGAGACTGATCACGAGAATTTCTGAATCGATGCGTTTGTTGCAGCACGAAAAATAATCATGGTGGCTCAAGAGGACATGCTGCGGAGTAGGTGGTTCTTGCGGAGTTAGATCAGGAACAAATAACAGAAAGCCCCTGATCACACGTCGTCAATCAAAGCGGAAGAGTCGGATTGACGACAGTCAAAAAAAGAGCTCTCTCAAAATGAGGGAGAAGCAGATGCTGATGGTATCTTCAAGATACAGCGAGAGCCTGCGCCTGTTCGCAAGTTGGTGTGTCGTCGGCGGTGGAGCTCCCTAGCTTAGATCATTACGGAGTACGGAGTCGTTAGATGATGATTTCCCGCTACAAAGTGAGACTCTACATGACTAGTGCTGGCATGAGGAGCAGGCCACTTTCTTGATTTACAACATCCCACCAATGCCATCGACGCGCTGCTCTCTACGCGTCGATTAATCGGACTCGTTCTTTACGTGAAGAAAATAAAAACCTCAAAGGATCTTAGTCCTGATACCCATCTCTGATGGTTGGATGAGCAGTGCGGCCAATCTTCTGCATCTCTGCAGCATCGTCGCCCATCCATGATTTTGAACCATGGATTATTCTGTCAATTGAAACATATTATCTGGAGTAGGATCCCGGTAGTTGTTTTTTATCTGGTCTACCTCGTCGGCTCATACGAGGCAAATGACTTCTCAGGTCGACCGGTTCGACTGTGCAGAGTCAAGAGCATGATGAAGAGTAGTAGTCTGGAGAGGTGAGAAACTCTCATCTCATGCTATGAGAATCAAAATTTGATGTTGTCAGGGAGACTTGAGGGACAAGAACTAGGTAACACTTCTCAGAACATATGACTCTTGCTCCCTCGCCATGGAGCTCTCATATTTCATTCATTTGAGACCTCTTTCTTCATCAATTCTTGCTTCCTCATTCATTCACTACCTCACTTCCGGGCCTGATGCCATGAAGCTCATGTTACCGCCAGGTGGTTGACCTCTGTCTGCACTGAATCCAGTGCTTCAGATGGGAGGCATTAACGTCCCTCAGAAAACAGCAGATTATGCTGGCCTGATCTTGCAATAACTGGGAATTTGTGTTCTAGATCCCGACACTTGACACGATTGCTGCATCCCTGGGGTCGATCTAGCTTCTTACTGTGCCTTTTCTAATGGAACTTGTGTTACTCTGAGCTCTACTCAAACCAAGTCACTCCTTCTTTCAATCCATACACTGCCTGGTTTCAATAAGCTCTATTCTCTGTCCAGTTTGAACACATAACTCTACAAGAAGGCATCATTTCAGATTCTCATCTTGAACTTGAGCTTTGTCAAATTCCAGCATAGATTCAATGGACTTTACTGAACCGAAGCCTCAGGTTAGCTGGAATGAAGGCAAAAGGATATTTATCTGTTGTCTATACAGGTTTTTTGAAAAGGACAGAGAGGCATTTGAAAGGATTTTTAACACTCATTATGAAGAGGACTTGAAGAGGGATGGCTTTAACAACAGAACTTCTTATAGCACCATCCGCACCCAGATTCGTGATATGAAACGGCAGGGGAATCCTTTATGGGGGCGCGTTCATCATTCTCCATTCTATAAGAACGGTCGTTGGCGCTCAATCCTCAATGTGATCTGGAGTGTTGCCGAGTCGCTGGGGATCACACTTGTCTACAAAAAGGTTGATGACACAGACACTTCTGGCTACCAGCCAAGAACACCGAAGACCAAGCCTGCTATTGGAGTAAGCTACCCTTTAACCATACTGGATAAGCGATAGGGTCCTAAGCATTGGCTACAGGCATCCCCAACTAGCTCATCCAGCTCATCTGAACCATTGACTGATACTACTGTCCCGCCGTCTCAAAATATCTTCAACTCCAACATTCGTTCAGGACCGCCTCCAAGAGTTCAACCGGAAACCACCCAATGCTTGACCCAATTCGGCGGGAAAGTCTGTTGGTGGTGTCAGGACCAAGGCAGCAGTGTAAGAAAGTGAATAAATTATTTGCACCCATAAATACAGCTGACAATGGAAATAAGGATTATGATAACAGTACCAATACTCAGTTACCACGTCTCCTCTACAGATGGTCCAACGCAGACTCTCAGGGCATAAATACCCCGAAACATTTCATCGCTGGCCTATTCTCCGACACGGAAGCTCCTCGTTTTCGACCAGAGAATATCCCAAGTGAACAATTTGACAAGTATGTATTAAATCATGTCAGTATTGCGCAAGAGACCAGTCCTTTCATATCCACATTTCAATCAGTTCTGGCTCCCATCCATAGGGCTCTCCGGGGAATGGAGGGAGCAAGGGTCACAATAATTGACTCACAAAGGCTAACAACCCCTGTGTACTCTGCGAGAGACCTGGTGCACAATAATGCGATTCATATCAGAGGCTACAGTGGGATAGGGGAATTTCTTATCTGGCATGAAGTAAGAAGCCCCGCGATTGTATGCTCATTTAAGATCACCACTCTTGTGCAATTTGCACAAGAAAATGAGGAGATTAATACTCTTCTGCAGCTCAATAGAATCGCTTCATACAGGCGTGTTCGGGGCCGATTGAGGACGGTCCTCTCAAGGGAAGAGGGTAGCATGAACTTAAATCATCATTCTGGCCAGGGCATTGGGAGACTTCTACGATTCATCAATATACCCCAAGAATACTACCAGACAGTTGGGGAGGGGATTATGAGATCATGGCAATTACGAAAAAGGGGATCATGGCCAGAGTTTTTTGAGGGGATGCAGCTTGGCTTCTTTTCTATGTCTGCGCAATGGCTCAGGCCTATGAAGATGGCTGCCACATATGCACGCGAAAATGAACTTGCTCAAGATATTGAAGATGAGCGCGACCTATCAATCAATGAAGACGACGAAGAGGAGGATGATGATTCCGATATTGATACACCTTCTCCCGCCCCCATGAGCCCCATTGATACAGTCTTTAATCACGTCGAACGATAAAATCCTGAGACAAGGAATTGGTCTGTGGCTAGAGACCCTCAAAGTCCGATGGAACTTGAGTCCTCCCCATCTTCTGATTCTAGCGTGATTGTGCTTGACGGATTTCTTGAGCAAGAGCTTGAAGAGCTTGGAGACCTGATCGTCGCAAATGAAAGTCCAGAGTTTTCCGAGACAGATATACCTGAGTCGAAGGATAAGTTTGCCTCGGAACGGGAACGCATCAAGCGTCTTCTTCAGTGAGACCGCGGTTGCCCTGTGACATAGGTATGGACGCAGAACAACTTCTCAATGTGCGCCGTATTTTGTTATGGGACAGCAATTACAGACTATCTGGCACAAACAGTGTTCGACGGATATATCCTTCTTACCTAGGTCAGACATGTTTAATGACTGCAGATTGCATTGCGGCTCTCGATCATCATGAGGGAATGTCTCTACTTGTTTTGTAAGCCTATCTGGTGTGATTGCAGATATGGTGGCTGGTAGTGTGATGGACCTTGGGCTCATGATCTATGATGGAAATTGATCCGAAGGGCAAGGGTCAAAGAATATCGATTCCTCCAGGCGCCGTAAGATACGAATGGACATGATTATTTTAACCATGAAAGAAAATTTGCATTCCCAAAGCCACCGTGCGTGATAATCCCCAGTCCCTGGTCTGCGGTACTTCTCGTAATCTAACACAGGAGGATCGAGTTTTTTTTTTGTATTGGATATTTCCTGCAGGAGGGTACCTGGGACATGAAATCGTTAAAACAATCCCAACCCGCTTCGCTTATATCCAGTCACGCCGCTGCCCTAGGTTTTATTTCCCTAACAAAACACCCCCTTCAGCCATTATCGACGCTTAGAACTTGCTGAACGCCTTGACGGCCTTGCCGGTACGGGGCAGGACACGGAGGACGTTGAAGCGGACCTGGAAAGAATGTATTAGTTCACATTGTCCAGAAAGAGTGTTCGCAGTTGCTGGCTGCTAAAATCCGATCGCAGCAGCTCAAGAGCATTGCGCGACAATTCATTTCTCGAACAGGGATTCCACATACAGTCTTGCTCAGAGGACGGCACTGGCCGACGGTAACCCAGTCACCCTCCTCAACACGGAAAGCGGGAGAGACGTGAGCGGCGAGGTTCTTGTGTCTCTTCTCGTAACGGTTGTACTTGGGGACGTAGTGGAGGTATTCACGGCGGATGACGATGGTACGGTGCATCTTGGTGGAGACGACACGGCCGGTCAGGATACGACCACGGATGGAGACCATGCCGGTGAACGGGCACTTCTTGTCTGTTTGAAATCAGCATTCTGAAAACCTCCCTTATCGTCTCGTCGACAGGCCTTGATCCTTGGGTTGTGAGGATGAAAGATTTCTTGACACTCCGCATGGCCAAGGCATCAATTTCCGGTGCAGAATCGGATTTTTCCTGACAGTCTCAGTCGTCCTCTCCCTCCATCTTTTGTAGATTCTGCGCCGTAGATTTTCGTGATTGCCTTTCAATATGCCGCGCGGTGCTCTCATCCTCACAAAACCCCGGAAGATCGTAGCCCTTTCTCCGAATCTAGAATTTGATGTCGCCGGCAGAAAAACTCAGAACAGGTCGTGCATACCGATGTAGCTGCCCTCAATGGCAGTCTTGGGGGTACGGAAACCCAGACCGACATCCTTGTACCATCTCCGGGCCTGGCCAACCTTCTTGCTCTTCGCCTTGGTCTTGGAGTTGAGGAAGATGTGAGGCTGCTTCTGGAACGCACGTTCCGACTGGACGGTCAACTCGGTCGCCATTTTTGCGAGAATTCAGTCCGACGAGGAAGCGAAGTCGAGCTGGGTATAAAATTCGTCGCGAGGGGGGTTGTCGGGGGCCTGCGGTGGTCGACGTCGATGTTGAGGAAGATTTATTCGATGATGGGGTTGAATTCGGTGTGGTGAGTGTGCGATCTTGACACTAGGCCGAAAATGGTATGGTTTGGCTCGGCTAGGGCTTTTTGGGTTTGTTTACTTCGGGGCCCGATCACATGAGCGGCGGCCCGGGCGACACGCTTGTTGTATGTTGTTGTTGATCTTATCGGACGGACAGAGCATGGGCGTTTCCAAGTCCACTATTATCACATTTCACATAAGTCGGAAACCCAAAAGAGACGAATGAGTAGCGATCGAAAACCAAGATAGTCCTGTCTATGCTCCCCTCTAATTAGTATCATGGCGTCCAGAGGTGACTCCGCGGGGTCGGTTCGTCCGCGATCTCGTCGCTCTATCGCCCATGTACCTCGATCGAGATTGACGTCGGTTTTGGATAAGGAAAACACCACAACGGACATCGGTGCAGCTCAGTCTTTTGATGGCCAGATGGGATTTACAGGGAAAGAGAAGAAATCTCGGAGTAAGAGCTTGGGACCTGGTGGTTTAGATGCTCTCCAAGACTCGAATGGCAACCGGCGCAAGGTAGGTTCTCTGCCTGCATACGCATCGTCCCCATAAGCGCACTGAAGTTGACATGACCGCTACTAGTCTACGATGGCTACCCCCCTCAAATCAATCCTCAAACCGACGGTTCCAGTGTCTCCGGTTCGAAACATTCCATCTTTCGAGGAAACGCGCAAACGAACTCCGGCGGGTCATAGCGCACAAAAAGACAACGCCGACATCGAAAACAAGAGTAATGAAAAATCGGATCTGTTGATTGATTTCGATACTCCCGCGCAACTGACAGCAGCTGGCACCGAAGACCTAGCCAATCCGTTTGACACCTTCAATGCATCATCTGCCATCGCCGCTGCGAGGGAACAGGAAGAGAAAGAGAGGCGGGAGCGCGAACGTAAAGTGATTATGGAACGTCGCGAGGCGCGCCGGAAGTCAATGGGTTAGCCAATCCCTTGACCCCACCAAACATCACGGCAGTGCTAACAACCATCCGCTCGAAGCGAACCGCCGGGTATCTTTCGCACCAGAAGCGACACTACACACCTGGAACGTCGTTGAGATTCCTGATGACTCGACTTCCTCATCTGCTTCCAATTCCACACGACGCGCTTCATCCCTTGCTGAAAACCAGACCCCTGCACCTGCGCCTGTACAGAGGGAGCCACCGTCTACGCCCGACACTGAAGCCGAATCCGACATTGCATTTTCTCCGGTGGAATACCCGGACTTACAAGAGCTCAGAAATCGTCCCACTTCAGCTTTCAATGGAAGTTCGCATGATACATACTCGAGCCCTTTCAGCGAGGGCTCCGCAGACGGTACAGAAGACATCGGTCTACACGGGGAGTCAAGGGAAGACGATGGTTCATCAGAATCTGAATTTGATGGGGAGAGTACTGCTATGAGTATGGACGACATGTCTGTTCATTCAAGTGCGAGTGTCCAATCAGATAATTCGGGCTCGAGTACCAGTTCCAGCGCTCGTCTAAACGAAGCTTTACGGCAAGCCGCTAAAGAGGCAGGTACAAGAGGTGTCGACTTTGACGAATATGGCGAAATGTCAATGGAGATTGCTGATCAAGAAATTACTGGTGCATTCCAACCTTGGATTAAGAAAGGTCAGAATCTTGAATGGGAAGACATTAGTGCCTTGCATGACCAAGAAAATGTTGATCCGTCAAGACTTTCACTGCAACATTCAGGTGCTCATGCGGCTGATGAGAATGATGAAGATCTCACTATGGAAGTGACGAACGCCATTGGCGGTATAATCCAGCCAAATCGCCCCCAAAGTGTTTCCCGCCGCAGATCGAATGGGGAAGAGACCGACTATGATGAGCAAACAATGGAGTTTACCAATGTTGTCGGAGGTATTGAGCAATTTGTCTCTCCGGCAAAATCTACCGGTGGCGGCGAAAGTAATGCAAGCGATGAGGAGATGACAATGGAATTCACCTCCGTTATTGGAGGAGTCCTCAACAAACCGTTCCAGGTTCAAAGTACTGGGAAATCAAGTCTGCCCGACTGGAACACCGAGCACAATGATGATGGCAGCATGGAAGATGATGCGGACATGGAGATCACTGCTGCAGTTGGTGGCATACTCGCTCCAACTGAAGACTATGATGAACAGGAAGACGATGATCAAACAGCAGGAATGGATTTTACGGCAGCTGTGGGCGGAATTTTGCCAGCAGACGTTGAAGCTGATGACGAAGCCCAAGATCAAGGAGATGCAATTCCAGAGATGGACCACGAACAAATTGGAAGCTCACCCTTCCAGGAGAATGTTCGCATGTCTCCTTCCAAGCCACCGATCTCTTTTCATGTGGCTCCTGTCGCTTCGGAAAGTGGTAGCCCCAGCCTGGCAAGTGTAAGGTCTCGCTCAACTAGGCAGAGTCTGGGCCGTCGAATGTCAAACACGCCGTCATTACGTTCACCACAAGCTTCGCCCGTCAAGAACACGACGGCACCAGCCGAGAATTCCACACCACAGAACAACCAGTCCTTGACTCTTAGTCAGACACCCCCCAGCAACAAGTCTGCTCGGAGTGCATCGTCGAAGAAGCTCTTTCAGCCTGAGTTGCGTGAGATTGCAAGTCAGCGTAAATCCCCAGGACGAAAGAGTATTTTTGGACAGACTGGGACGACAGGTGACTCTACTCCTCTATTCCCACTACGTCCGCACGAGAAACGACGCTCTTCTGGTCTTGGAATTGACAAAGAAGGCCTCGGATCGCCCCGTGTGGCAGCTATTCTAGATAAAAGACGATCAATTGGAGAAGATGCTCCGCGGTTTGTTCCTCAGGAACAGCCCAAATCGGGCGTGCGTTTCGAAGATCCATTGAAACTTCAAGAAGAGGTTGACCTCGAGCGTGAAGAGGAAGAAAACCGAGAAGATGGGCACATCGCGCCGCTAGACGCTACAGCAAATCTGAAGGATATGATATCGAGTCTCACACCGAAGAAGAATAAGCTACGTGGTCGAAAGAGTCTACATGTTGGGGCTGCGCGAGGTTTACTTGGCAAAAGACCCATAGAGCTTGACCAGGACGAGGAGCAGGATTCCGATTATACCCCGAAGCGGCTGAAGGGCCGCAACGTCAGTCCTGTGAAGAGTATCAGGCTTCCAGCACCCCCAAGCAAGGACGAAACATTTGGACACTTGACTCGTTCTCCTACTCGTAGGTTGGCGAGTGTGCCGTCTGCTGAAATCAGCACAACTCCAAGCCAAGAGCCAAAAACAAGCTCTTTCTCATTGAGCCCAGCCAAAGCTGATTCGGAGTCTTTCAACTCCACGGAATCCATCAGTGCAGGGGACGAGCCCATCGCATCTCAAAACACCGAGCCAGAAGTTGAGCCCATTCAGCTCCAGGAATTCCTAAATATGACCAATATCCATTTTATGGAGCTCACTACGACCAAAAGACGGCACACCACTGCCCCTAGTAGTGCGAGCAAGAGAGCAATTCGATTATCGATCGATTCAAAACCTGCCAGTTTTGAGGACTGTGTCGCTGCTGGTTTCTGCACCGTGCCGATGCTTGAGTTATATCAACATGTAAGCTGTTCCCCTCCATTCATGCCGATATTTACTCACTATACTCCCAGTCCTGTCGTGAACTGAAATCATATATCTCCGAAGGGAGACAAGTCATCCGATCCATCGAAACCGAGACTTATGCAGAAAACCCGCCATTGTTCCGAGAATATGCCACGGCCCCTCCTGACATCCGTCTTCTGATGGACAATCAATTCCGCAACGTGAAGACCCACGCTAGATTACTGAGCAAAGCCACATGGTACGAGTGGCGCATGAAGTTACTTGACGGTCTGAAAGAAGGCCTCGACCGGCACATGGGTGATATGAAGGCGGACGAAGAACTTTTGACGAGATATGAAGCACTCCTCAATGACGCAGTACCTTCACTGGCAGAGAAACATGCTTCGCTGCAAGAAGAGGCTACAAACTTGCAGCAACTTGCCGATGAGATGGAGAACTGTAACCAGGATGAACTGCTCAACGCAAGAGAGAAACTATCCAGCTTAGAAGATGAAATTGAGTTGAAAAGGCAACAGTTGCAGGAGTTGCAAGCTCAGTTACAAGATAAGACAGACGTTATCGAGGCTGGAGCTGAGCTTAAAACCGAGTTTTTGGCGCAAATACAGGAAGCGGAGAAAGTGAAGGAAGAATGTCACGGTTGGAGCGCCAAGGAGATCAGTGAGTTGAAAGGTAAGATTCCCGGCTTGTTTTCTTCAGCAACCATCGCTTAAAGGGTACTGACACCCACCAAAGAGTCAGTCCAGAAGATTGAGCATCAAACCGGCTGGTCTATTTTATCAGCCACATCTTCGGAAGAATTACCTGCCGGACCACAAATAACGATGTCTTACCGGAACCAGCTCCGGCTTGTTTTCCATCCGGCAACATTTTTGATTGAAAGAGAAACTCAAGCAACGTCAGACTTGGACAAGAAGACAGTCTTTTCTCTTGAGCTGACTTTCAGTCCAAAACGTACACGCAGAACCTCAACCGAAGCACCACAGTTGACACCCATTGCTTTGTTAGTCTTGAAGTCCTTACAGAAGCACCTCAAGACCCTGCAGCACAAGACAGCCACGCTTGCCCCGAGACATCTCCTTCGATTCATATCAAATGCCTGGGATCTTGTCCTCAGCTTGGAGGAAGAAGCCCGCATGCTCGAATTCTGCGGCGTAACCAAATTGAATTTGACTGAGAAAGATGACAAGCTGTCACTGAGAGCTCGGTGCACCCTACTCGGCGCCGGCGCCCAGAAGGCACCTGCGGCGAAATCCACACAGAACTCAAATGTCGGGCGAAGGAGAATCGATGTCGACTTTGCCATCACGACCCGTGTTGTACAGGGCGAAGACGCCGGCGCTGCGGGTGTGATGGACTTTGAAACCGACGTCATCGCTAGCAAGGTCTACGGATTCGGGTCACATAATGACCTGGGTATGTCCGAGGCGGAGATGCAGAAGATCCTGTTCAAAGGATTGGGAGAGACGGCAGCCGGAGCTCAACTTGGGAACGGTCTTTGGAGTCAAGCGGTTCGGACACTTACGGGAACGGTTTTTTAAGATTGTGAATGGGGCAAGCGTGGGGTACATATTTGTTCAAGGAGTTTCACTGTTTCAGCGTGTTTTTTTCAGATGTACAGAGGTGTTCTGGGTTCTCCCCTTTCTGGGGTCGGTGTCTAGTCTGGGTGGGGTTTCTTTGTCTATACTCTATATCCATTAATGTACATGTGAGATTGAATTCATTCAAATTTAAGAACTCAGTAATTATTCTTGTGCTAGTGCTCAGCCCATATTCGCCATCACCTGACCTTTATGTATATATCCAACTTGTCCATGCATATATATGTAACGCCTCGAAAACGAAGATATCTCAAACTCGACCTCATAGCTCATACATATGGAATGCCAAATCCTCCACCAGGCCACATGGGTTGCTGGCCCGGCCCCTGACCAGGAGGAAGGTTGCCTGGATTTCCATACGGGAAGCCCATGTTCACCGGTGTGAGGGGGACGTTGATTGGCGTCGCCGCGGGTCCCGTCGACGACGCGGTTGGTTGAAAGAATCCTTGCGTATAGTAATCTTCACCAAACTGGTTGGGATCCCAGTCGGGGGGAATGGGAATTTGCCACAAGTCAGGTTGAGGGAAGTTCATGGAGATGGGGATAGGGAGGAATGGTTCGAAGGGGTAGATGGGAGTGGGAGTGGTATTGAGATTGGGATTGTAATTGTTGCTGTATGTTTGAGGAGGCATTGATGGTTGGGTTGATGCTGGGATTTCTTGGTTGAAGGAAGGAGCGGGCATTGTGATGTCGTCGGAAGCTGGGGGGCTGCTGTCGGGGACAACGTAGCCGGCGGAGTTGATGCGGGGAAGGCCTGGGAGATGGGGGATGTCGATGGTCGGGGGTGAGTGGACGGGGGAGGACGTGAATGAGGAATGAGGCGCGGTGCTTTCTTGCTGCTGTTTTTTGTTTTCGTCGTCGTCGTCGGTGTCGGGTACAGTGCGATTCCGGCTTTCGGCCCGGGACGCTGAAACACGATAACCCGTTCTTTCGCTGGGTTTGAGCACCCGCTGCTCTCTTTCGAGGACGGCCCTGGCTATACGCTCGAAATTTGAGCTCATTCTTGTCATGAACCGGGCATAGTTGGTTGGTCCATCGCCGGGTATAAGTGTAGCAAAGAAGGTCGAGGCCATGTTGAGAGATTGGAGGTCCTCTTTGACGTGAGCATGTCGTGAGTCTCGCAAGATATTTATGAAGATGGTCATAACTGCCCCAAAAATGTAATACAGCAGGGACCTATGCAAATTGTCAGATTGGTGATGAATAGGAGACAGGTATATTTCTTCTTCAATTGCCTTACCATATCCATGCTACATCACCCCAAGGCAGATTGTTGACAAGCCGTAATGTACCCCGAGCAGCTTCCGTACAGATAGCGACGGATAATGATAATTCTTTGAGGATAATGTTTGTATCGTAGGGGCCCGACTCCACACTTGCGAGATGCCGTTGTTGGGCAAAATGGATGACCAAAGGGACCCTATGAATCAGAATTAAAGAATTGTAGTAGACTAATTGCATGCCAGCAGATGCAAATCCGCGCAGGAAATCTTCGCCTGTCGCTCCTTGCTTTAATTGTTCATCATATGTGTTATCTGCCCGCCATTCTTCAAGTTCGGCATGGAGTTCTCTGACAATCTGAACGACTTCTGCTGCAGTCTTGTTCTGAAAAGCCTTGGCGCAATAAAGCTTCGCGTATATTCGACCCTTGATAACAGCGATCCGGCAAAGCTGTTGAAAAAATGACTTGTTGTTGCTCAATATGGGTTCGATCTCACTATCCTCAGTAGGGATTTCGACATCAAAATCATCTAGATGTTGAGTTGGGGCATTTCCTGTCCGTATACATGTACTGCATATTGTTCATATTAGCTTCGGATGGCTATGGCACAAACAGTCAGTCATGGTTGCCTTACCTGTGATCAAGAATGAAGGCAACCCAGAAGACCCTTCTTCTTTGTTCCTGCTCCACTTGTGAAAGATGTGGCCGTGGGGTTTCACGGTGAAGACCCATTCGATGACATGACTTTATGGCTGCTGTGATCAATGGCATTGCAGATTGAGTACCTGAATTACCGCGAAGAAAAAGAGCCATGCCCAGTAGAGCCTGTACACTGAGCATGTCGGTTCGACGCAACGTCAGTTCTGCAAAGACCGACATGGCGTTCTTGTAATAAAACCAGGCCCTTTCTTTATCCTTTTCCGATTTCTGGCTGTTTGTGTACCTGTATTCATACGCGAGCGCGAGAATGACATTGATGCTGGCCCACCGGGCAGCGTCATCGCATGTCTGCTGCGTGTATTGCCACTCGACCAGTTCCATAAAGCTTGCTTCATGGTAGAGAGGGAATAAGCGATTGATTGTGCGGAAGTAGTCGCGCAACAATGAGAAAACTTCTGCTCTCGGCGGCAGCGGCTTGAAAACCGTCGAAGCGAAGACATCATGAAACACATCGGGACGCCAGTAGTCCCAGGGGGAGTCGTACTTCGAGTCTGAAACCAGCAGACGGAGGAATTTAACTTCGCCGGCCTTGTGCTTGATCCATTCGATTCCTTCCCGAGAGAGTATAGACAAGGAGGATGAACGCCCTAGTATTCATGTCAGAATGCTTAGATAGTGAGGGACGTTCGAATAAGGAGAAACACACCATAATAGACAGAATCGGCTCTGTTATCCCATCGAAAGATAGGGGCATGCTGACTGTTACCAGCCGAACGTCTACCAGCGGGCCCAGAAATATGATCCTGATTCGAGGCGTTCGAAACACCTGTTCTCCCGGCGCTGGGTAGGCATTTGTCCGAGTCGCAGGGCGGCGAAGTCGAAGAAGAGCCTTCCCATTCATCCTCAGTTCCACTGCCATCAAGCGATTCGTCATCATCGCTAGTTTCAGAGATTCCGAGGTTCTCCTGGTTAGGGATGCCAGCAGCTTTGAGTAGCGACTCGGTCTTCCTCAAACGCTCTTTCAAAGCCTTCACGTACAAGCGCCTGAGTGGGTTGATTAGCCATATTACCTCTAGGAGACATAAAGGCCGAAGGATCGGGTTCGTTAGGCCTACCTTTTTCGACGATCAAGCTTTTCTTTTCTGGTGGCGAATTCGCACGGGATGCGACGCCGCATACATTGCCTACAAGATGAGCTTGATTCATCAACCTCACATGGAGCCCCATTCCTGCAGCAAGATTCACATGCCTGATGCACAAATTCGATCAGCGTCGTTTCCTCTGGAAGCGCAATATGACGGATCCTTACTGACGAGTCAGCTCTCCGGCTTTTAGCTCCGAAGGCCTGATATCGCGAGGCTTGAGGCACACTCCCATGACCGTCCAGCGGTCCTGAAGGATATGCGCCTTCAAATGTAATCGAGGGACTCTGCATGGCCAACTTCAACCAGGCAGTTGGTTGACAGTGTCATGGATAGGGGACATAGACCAGGCCCAGCCGGAGTGCACGGGAAAGCCGAAATCCGAAAAGTTCCAGCCAAAGAGCGCCTATCTAATACGGAAAATTCCGCCGTGGTGCGGGTTCAGATGTTTGGATTAAGGGTGCGATATATCAACTGATGCGCTCCACAGGGCACAGAGTCCTAGAGTCCTAGATAGTAAAGCTTGTGATCGAAGCGGTCGACCGGGGAGCCTAGGTGTTCCGCAATTCTTGGTCGATGCAGCCATGAAGCAGCCCGAGCTCTTTCTATAGGGCCCCGATTCTCGAGAGGTGGATTTGTTGATCGAGATGGACATCGACCAAAAAGTTTCCAACCCGAGCAAAAGACGACCCTGGAATCAGAATGTCTTGAAGACTGGAAAATAATACCGCATCGTTGGTTGTCGGAGGCTCGGAGCATCGGGATCGCCGAGTTCCGACCCAGCAGGCTCTTTTGAAGAACCAGTCAGCGCTAACCAAATATAGTAATCGGTTAGAGTGCTTCATAATATGTATATGATCATGAACCTCGCAGTAACTATAGCGTCAGACTTGACAAACGTGTTTGGAGAGAAGGATTAGCATAAATCTATATAGTTCTGATGGGTAAAGACCGAAACTGGATGATCATGAGATGGAAGGAGGCATTGAAGAGAGCCTCAACTCCTTGTCAAATTTCAGCCTCAATTGTATATAAACATAGGCGACTGAATAACCTCATATAAGATTGAGAACCATGTTGACAACCAATTTTCAACTGATTATTCCACCGACAAAGCTTTTTCATATTCCTTACTTTGGAGTACACGAATCCAAAAACGAGGAATAGAAGTTGACAGGACAACTTGATCCGTAAGTGTTGAGGCTTCTTGACCAGAACATCCCAATGTGATATTTTGATCAGACCAAAATTCTCGTTTTGTCCCTATCAGCCAGGTCTAATCTGTTTTCCATATATAGTTGGAGAAATCTGAGAGAGATAAACATCACATCACACATGTAGTAGTTCATTTCAACCCTGGATAGCAGATGTCTGGTCGACTTGGAGTTACCCTAACAAACCCAAGTAACAAAGAATCCGCAATTTGAATACACCCCCAAGGACTTTCATGAATGGCAGCAAATGCAAAGCTCGCCAGCCTGCTTACTATGCTGAAGCATCTGGTTTCACTTCAGTGCAAAGATCCTTGCTTACCGTGAGTGTTCGCGTCTGAAATTGCGGTCAGGGAGAGGGAACCCAGGAGGGTCGATTGCGTCCGTCCGATGGGATAGTGGCAGCAAATTCCAACACAGGGACAAAGCGTTGATCGTAGAGAGCAATCTTCTTCTCTATGTACTGAAAGATGAAGAAAAGTACCGAAGTTCAGGAATCCGTCAACCATCAGGGTTGTTCTAGACGCATCGAAAAGCCTGTGTTTCTGATGAGTCAATGACCCCATGAAGATACTCAACGTAGGTCTCGATGCCCAGTCGCGATCAGATAGAAACAGCCATTGACAGCAAATCATGGCGACCGTACCAGCATCACCCAGGTAAAGTGGTGCGTTGTTGACGCCTTCCTCGGGCGCGAAGAATCAGACCTGAAGCTGGAAACAAAAAGGTCCGATCATCGTAGCAGAATCAAGAAAAGGAAAAAGAAAAATCGGATGTTCAGATGACCAGGCGCTTGGATTTATCATGTTGTCCATGTACTACCGAGGGAGATGAAAAAAGCAACATCCCAGCAGGCGCCGAATATAGTATACTTTGGGTACTTCAGTGCGACCGATCGTCAGAAGCAAATCTTCTTCTAGACTCGATCGGTGGAGATACGTAAGGACGGACTGAAGTTGCAGAAGAATTGTATCTATCCCTGTCAGGCCGATAACAAGACAGGATGCAAATGCCTTACGGAGTACTGACCTGGGGTAAATGCATGTCGGAGTGTCACGATGCAGCAGCTCTGCTGGATCTACTCAGTAAAGAGTCCAACTGAATGATCTTGTTATTCATTTTTTTTTTTTTTTTTTTTTTTTTGGTTAGCTTTTGTTGACGAGTAACCAGATATCCACCGATAGACAAAAAGTGACATCCCGCAGGGAAGTGTATGGTGGCTTCGACTGTCTCCCCATCACATGGGCATGGGGGATTATTGACGTGGCTTGAATCCGTTCGCGGCAGGCTTGAGTACCATGATCCCGACCCGCGGGAACCCAAATTAAACCATCTGCTGGCTACTGCTTGTGACAACGACACAGTCCAGGCAGTTATCCAAGAGACCTGAGCAGCAGAGGAGCCGTGCTCGGAGAAATCCTGTGTGGCACTGGCATGGAGTCATGGCGTCCTCTGATTGTCGCGATGGCTGGCATCGAGACAAGGAGACATAAGGGAAGTGGAATCATCGCTATACCGCTACTTTGGCAAGGCGCTGATGCTGCTGGTTGCGCCCATCACACGACTGCTGCGAGGGGATTCTGATAGTACATGGTATCGGATGATATTGTGATGGCTGTTGGCTGGTGATGCTTGAAATTGGGATTTTGATATCCGCTGCGCTTGTTCTGCCAAAGCTATACAGTTTTGATCCTTGATTGATTTTTCAATTTCCTTTGTGATCTCTCTTTCTGGAGCAAAAGTACAAACGTTCATTGATGCTGATGATTTTGTTGCTTGTGAGCCCAGGATAGGTACTTACGCACTTACTCACAGTACATGCAGATCGGCTGTAGGAGCTTCGTATAGGGACGATTCATGCACAGCGAGGTTACAGTTGTCTCAGCCACACGAAATAGAAATGGAATGTATCCATCTGTAGCGCATCAATGTATAGAGTAGTCTCTGTAGTATCTAGTCAGATCTTCAATACCTCCTAACAAGGAAATGACTCGGGAGAACGATTGGTTTATCCGCATAAGGATCCATCATTCGGAATGTATCAATTCTCGATGTGCTAAGGCTTTGTGGAACCTATCATTTAGCGACCAAGCAGACAGCGCCTCAGATATCCAACTGATCACCCCCAACGTATCTAATTCTTTGACCACGATAATCGCCCCCAAGAAGCCAAAATCATGAAACACGGCCGTCACCACGTGAAGCGACTGATTTCCTCAGGAACACGAATCACAAACCAGCTCTTGGACTATATCGAAGTCAGATGGCCTGGACTGATTTGGCGTTGCCGCCTTAATCGGCGTGTGGAAAAAAAGGATCCTAAGGCTAATTATCCTGCCTGGTGCCTGATTCCCTTCTGCTTTAGGCTATTCGTATTGATTCTTGAGGCAACTGGAGTGCATCGTTTTTGTTATTTGTGCCTGATACTCCTTCGTATATCCCTATGGAACGGTGTTTCAGCGCATGATAGAGACCAGCTGGCTGACTGTGCTTGAGTATCAAATGACCGATCTTTAGGCACCATGACTGAATCGAAATGCGCATCGGTAGGGGCCGCAGAGACAACTGGATATGTAGTATCGATCGAGCGCAGTGAGATGAAGTATGACTGTCCAGAAGGTTACAGTAAGGGTCAAACAGGAACGGAAACAATACCAGTCCTCATATACCATACGAGTATTCTATAGAATCGAGCAAGAACAGAAGTACGAACATCCTGCTTCAGTTTGTACTCAGCACCGTGGCATGTGTGTACGTATCATTGTTGTTAGGTCTGCATCCCTATCCAAGGCCCCTTGTGATCGACACAGCCGCGAGACTTTGGTGGCCTAGAGGAGAAACGGTCAACATGCCTGAGCTCCCAAATACCTGGACACATTGATGCGCTCGAAGATGTACTCTTTCCAGGCTGGATAATGTATGCTGACCACAAAGAGGGATGGATTGTGCGTGTCTTATATTCTATCGTCTGTGAATCTTCAAAGTAAGTCTCTCCCTCGAAGGAGGTTGAAAGTTAGAATCAAGGGATCGTATCAACTAGAGTGACTCGGTCAAAGTCTATGCTGGTGGAGACATTACTACCATAAATTGTTCCTGGCCCGTTGGAGACTGACTATGCCATCATTGCCATGTTGTGTGCCCCAGGAATCAGTGAACTGCAGATATCAAGCTTCATGCTAACCCACGGTGATAGCCGTACTGATATGCAAAGCCTGGGCCTTGGAGATTTGGCTTGTCCTGGGAAGGGTCAACACACAGCAGCATGGCAACCATCATTCAATTCCAAAGGGCCCAGATCGTGAGATCAGAAAGGGCAGTACAGCTCATCTTCTCGCCGAGCGGCCCATGAACCCTTCTGTTGAAGAACGTTGACCCTTCGGCGGAAGACCGGCTTGGACCCGACAAGAAGACGACCCTCCATCCATTGATCCTATGACGAACAGCTCGAGATCTCCTTCAGCGCAACAAAAGCTCAACTCCACTCAAATCAACCCTTGCATCGAAAACCAGCTCCTGGAAGGTGGAGAGGAAGCTTGCCGCAAGCCCATGATGTGCATAAGCCACCAAACTCTTCCGCTAGTCCAGTTCTCGAACACATCGGACGGATTTCAAACACACCCTGACCACGGATCATGTATGTGAGCACCTGCTTTTGAGCGACGTGATCGGTATTCCCTTCATATTTTGCTGATCTGATGGAACTTCGGGGACTGCGGGCCGGACAGATGTGTGGAATGTGACTGCTCCAAAAAAAAAGTAGAGAACAAAAAGAAAGATATCCGAGTAGAAACGTACACAACATCAGAGCTTCGATGGAATGAGCTTACGGCCTACTTACTTTGACTAGATGGACGCCAGGGGAGGCGGCACATTTATTGAGCACCTGACTCGAGTGCAGGATGCTTGCTTTGAAGTTACTACTTGCTGGAGCATACTTCGTAGAGACAAAGGCATCACATCCCTTGAAAGCTCAATCTAGACCTTCCTTCTCGACGATCCCCGAAATATTGATATCTGAGCGCAATCCAAGCTTCGAAGCTGCACCCAACACAGACCAGAAAATGAGGGGACGCTCTTGAAGG